ACTAGTTCTTTTGCAATAATTCTACTAGTTTTTTTACAAAAAAACTCGGATTTATTTTTTTTTACAAAATTTTAGAATTTACTTGTTTTTTTAAAATTACCAATAAATTTTATTTTTTTTACAATGATCTTAGATTTTACTCTTTTTTTAAATAAATAATAGATTTTACTTTTTTTTTTAAAGTAATCATAAAGTTTACTCGTTTTTTAAAATAACCAATAAATTTCACTAGTTTTTTGTAATGATTTTAGAGTTTACTAATTTTTTTAAATAAGCAATAGATTTTACTAGTTCTTTTGTAATCATCTTAGAATTTAGCCATTTTTAAAAAATAATAAATAAATTTTATTTTTTTTTAAATAATCATAAAGTTCATTTTTTTCTTATTAGTCTATAGTTTACTAATTTTTTAAAGTAATGATAAAATTTACTCGTTTTTTTTTTTTTTTTTTAAATAATAACGTACTTTAATAAAGCTTATTAGTTCTTTTATGATAAGTATGCAGTTTGCTGATTTTTCAATGAGATTCCAGTGGTTTTAGGATAGTCTGATGGTCTGGTTAGACGGATAAGGGTTAGGGTTACAAGATTTCATGATAATTCCATTTTCAATAGATTTTATAAACTCTTTTGTAATGGACGCGCAGCTTATTCATTTTAAATCTTCTTTCAATAAGTTCAAGATAATGTGTTTGTCTGGTTAATGGATTAGGGTTAGGGTTAAGCTTGAGACTTTCATGATAGATACCATTTGCAATGATTTTAGACTTGAGTAGTTCTTTAGAATGAGCTTAAATTTGAAAAAATTTAGATTTGTTCTTGTTATAAACTTTACTAATTCTTTCAGGATAAACTAGTTCTTTTTTTGCGATAAGAATTCACTACCTCTCCGATAAGCCTAAACTTTACCCGATTAAACATAGTTTCAAACTAAGAGTGTACTAAAATAATTAAAACTTCATTTTTCAATTCTTCATTAAAAATTTATGCATCATTTTTCAAAATTTCCTATACTATATACAAATAATAAATATATGCAAGATTTCATTCCAATGCTATTTTTCTTATTCATTTTATAACATTCCCATAATAATCACTCCCAATAGTGTTATTTTTATTATATCTGGGACTTCCATTTTCATCCCCTCATTTGGTTTCACTTCTTCTTCTTCTTCTTTCTGTGTCTCTTTGCTTGAATCGTTTATAGATTTTGTAGGGTTGTACTTCCGCATCGACGTCAACGTCACTGTAGACGTCACTGTCGACGTGCTCGTTGTCGTACTCGTATACAATGATGTACTTGTCACCCATGTATCTATCGTCCTGACTAATGTACACTCTTCTGTTACTTTTCCTCCATTTACCAACTTGGTCGTTGTCGTTGTCGTTGTCGTTGTCGTTGTCGTTGCCGTTGTCATTGTCGTTGTCGTTGTCGTTGTCGTTGCCGTTGTCATTGTCGTTGTAGTGGTTGTCTCAGTGGTCGTTGTTTCCGTCACCGTTTCTTTTTCTGTCTCTGTATGATGAGGCTTAATTTCTAATGGTTCTATTCCTTTGCATAACGTGTCTATTTCTCCGCAAACTTCAAGACCCGGACAATCCTCTCCAAAACCGCAATCTAGTTCTAAAGCTTTACATTCCTCTTTCAATTCCAAATACAACACCAATGCTATTGCTGTCTCATCAAATGCTATTATCTCTGTTTTTGATATCCCTCCAGCTACATACGCTCTTTTAACAAGTCCGAATTTTGCATGGTTCGTCGTTCCACTAGTTGGTATGCTTGGTATAAAAGATGGCTGTGCTGGTGATGACCCTGATGGTGGTAGTAGTGGTGGTGCAGAAGCACTGCTATTCTGCGCACTTGGCATTACGGTTTGTCCAGGCCTTGATAGCAATAAGCTAGCTTTATTCGTAGATTCTTTTGCTGCCTTTTTGAGCTTATCGTATTTATCTTTCTTGTCCTTCAACTTCCCTTTCGCCTTCTCCAGTTCGATTTTTAAAATAGGACATCTCTTCTCTACTTTATCAACTATTTTTTTGCAAAGTTCTTTGGTAGTTTCTTCATCACATTTATCAAACAGAGTTTTAAATGTTTCATTCTTTTCCAACTTAGTGCAATACTTTTCTAATGTTTTTTTACATTCATTTTCATCCTTTAAATTGCCTTTCAACAGATGAGTCAGCTCATCCTTCGATTTCAACTTTTCAAAGGTTTTATTGCATTTTTCTTGGAGTTTTACACAATTCTCGTCATTTTTCTTATTATCTTCTTTCAACTGATCTGGACAATTCTCCACAAGTTGGTGACAATATCGTCCCCATGTTGTACAGAGTTCTTCAACCAAGGTTTCATTTGCATTTGCTTCTCCAATTTTTTGTACAATTGCTTTACTCTCCATGTTGATTTTTAAATTACTACATTCATCTTTTGTATGGAGTACCATATATTCACATGTTTCTCTTGGCAAAGCACATGAAATACTAAATGGATTTTCCCCCCTAGATAAAGTATCACATTTCTCATGCAACGCCTTCGTGCAGTTTTGCTCATCGTATAATGCATCATCTTCTCTTTTTAAAAATACTTTTCTAAATTTCTCTGCAACCCTAAAATATTCACAGAGTATTTTCAATGTTGCACACTTTCTAGAATTCGAATTTGAATCACTTTCAAGTTCATCACACTTCTCCCCCAATTCAACACAATGCTTTTCTAATGGAAAATCTCTCTGACTATCCAAAAGCACACCTAACTCTTTTGATTGAAGAAAAATATCATCTGAAAGCACATAACATAGTCTTTTAGGGTAAAGACATTTTGAAAGGTATCTTTCATCAAGTTTTGTACAGTTTTCTACCACAGATTTTTTACAATCTTCAGGATCGTCATCATAATATCTTATATCACCAAGCTTCCCCCTCAATTCCTTTTGAAAGAACTTATTCAATATCCTATCTTTTCCTATTTTATAGCACGCTGCATGTACATTTTGACATGCTTCATTAATCTTATTATTACACGCCGTTTTTAAATAGAAACATTCCGAGACAAGTTCCGTACACTCTCCCTTTGTAAAAAATGTAGGCAGATGTCTCCACGATAAAAGCTCTGATTTTACATCATCATTATATTCTGTAGACAAGTCTTTCTGAAAAAGTGCTGATTTGAATTTTGTACATCTTTTTTCTACTTCTAGTATTTTTTTGCATTTCTCTTCATTACTAAGATATTTGCATAACTTTGTCATTTCGTTACCCAAATGCTTAAAATCATTACATTTTTTTAACGCTTCGGCGCATTTCTTCCCCGCATCATTCTTATTCACATTTTCGCTCAACAGTAGTAAGATATCTTGCAGAAAATATATGCCCAACTTCCTTGGTACATCCACTCCTGCTTTTCCAATAAGAATCCCATCTTTTTCCGCATTTTTATAGACATCTTCCAACCCAATCATTGTCAACAACGACGCCCTCGGTTTCACCGGACTAAAATCAGATTCCGGCGCTTTATATGTAATATTATTTTTCTTGCATTCCTCCTCAAAGACCTGACATTTTGCATCATCACACGCTTCTCCGTAAAAATGACATTTCTCAAGTCTTTCATGACACTTTTCCGCTAATTCGTCCTTATTCAATTCTGTTTGTAAAGGCAGGCAAACACTACCCAATTTGCTTTTTAGATCATCACACGTTTTAGTTAGATTAAGGCAAGAAAACATGAACTCGTCGCTTTCTCGACTTAACACTGGGCAAACCTTTTCCATCTTTCCTTTACATTTACCATCATCTTTAGCATCCCCTCCGAGCGCCCTGAAAAGAAGCTCATCTGCCACCTTTTGGCGCTTCAATTTGTAACATCTTTCCCTTAACTTGACACAATTCTCCTTATAATCATCATAACGATATGCTTCTTCTAAAAATATACATTTTTCCTCATTATTTTTACAATCTTGATCTTTTAGATTTCCCAATGCAGAATCAAGTTTCCTATTAAAATCCGACAATTCTATTTCAATTTTATCATTCAGATCTTCGCATTTTTTTTTTATATTATCACAAATTTCTTTAACTTTAGTATGAACTCTATTTAATTCTGAATCTATTCCTTTCAATTCTTCACAATATTCCCCAAGCTTTGATTCACATTTATCTTGATCTTTATAATCTTCTTTCAAAATATAAGCAAGGATATCTTCTTCCTTAACAACAAAATCCTCAAACAGCATATTTCCTGCAGATACTGGAGAATCTCTAACTTTCAAATGTGTGCTTTGATTGCCATAAATAGGAACTATAAATAGTTAAAAATAAAAATAATTCAAAATATAATCACCAATTAAAATCAATATTCCTAGAAGTATAATTTTATTAATTTTGGAAAAAAGCATTTCATATTATTTCAGGATCCCAATATATAGCATAAATATTAACAATATATAGCATAAATATTAACAATATGCTCTTATATTGGGTCCTTTATTAAGCTTGATAGTTACTTCATGAATAGGTTTTATTTAGACGGGATAAATTTCACGATTTTAATATACCCTAGAAAATAGGAAAAACTATTAAAAATAAAAACCATTACAAATCCTGATTATAAATTTAAATGATTTTTCTTGTTTTTTTCTATATTTCTCCTTATCCTATTGAATTATTTTTTATAAAATAATATGTAATTTACATTTTATTTTATTTATCGACTTTTAAGATTTATTTTAATTCATTCTGAACTTTTACTACTTTTAATACTATATTATTATTCTTAAATCCTGTATCTTCCTTATTTTTAACTTTGCTTTATTTAAATAATTCTTAATTTTTTTCTTTAATCACTAGATTGTTTTCAATATTGATTTATAATCAATACTTCTTCTGATCTTTAGTTTTAATTAAAGAATACTCGACTAATGATGTTTGACATGTACTTTTAGTTTAATTGAACACATTCTCTTCTCTATTTTTTCTTATATTACTTTAAATTACAGAAAAAAACATAAAAAAGGTGCTTTTCATTAATTACACACCATACAGAAACAGAAAAACAATATTCAGTTGCAAGAATAAACATTAGACAAAGGATAAATACGGATCACAAAGAGTACCTTTTTATTGTAGTGTAATAAAAACAAGAAATCAAGGAGTTCAACCATAACCCTAATACATGTCCTTCATTTATACAGAATAGTATAAAAACTTATATTATATATATAATGTTTAAAATTGGCTAATAATTGGCACAAGTATATAATAACTTAATTTAATTTAATTTTAATATATTTTTTTTCTTATAAAATTATAATATTTAAAGATGAAAATTATATTCTTTTTGTTTTGAATAGTTTTCATATTAAAAATTTTATATTTTTTAAAATACTTTACTGAAATGTTTAAATATTTATATTTGGATTTTATAATTGTTAAAGATAAAAATCTCGTTTTAATATCAAACAATTGAATATTAGAACATATTTCAATTTATAAATATTTTAAAAGATTATTTCATAAATTACCATAAAATAGTATTTTAAAAAAATCGTGGAATTCAAATTGAATTAACAACAAAATTAAATAGTATTTTATATTTATAAGTTTTTATAATTTTATAAACTTTTTAGAAAAAAAATAAAATTATTTATATAAACATGAAAATTTAGTTTTGATCATTTGAAAATAATAGTTTTACAATTATAAAAATGATTAATAAAAGGAATATTTAATTACTGAAATATAATTTAAGTAAAATCAATATTAAAAATTTAAGATTCAACATTTTTTAATTTAAAATTTAAAATCAAAATATTAATAGGAATTTTCGATCAAATTCCTTTAATTCAATATTCAAATGTTTATTATAAAAGAAATATACAGTAATTTAAATAATCTAATAAAAACTTAATATTTTTAACAAATTATAATTTAAATTCTTAAAATCTATTTTAAAAATAACATTATCTCTAAAATATATTAAGTGTTATCATTCGAATAATTTTTATTTTAAATAAAAATGCACATAAATGCAATTGAATTTATTATAAATTTTTAATTTATATTTTTTCATGTGTTAAAAAATTTTATAGTTATAATAGAATTTCTTTAATAAATTTGAAATAGAATAACATGAATTTCATAAAAATTCTACAATACTATCATATACTATTTTTCTTACATCATAAAATTCTTGAGATATTCCACCCTCTAAAATAACTTTATCACCTGCAATTTTTTTTACTGTTACTAGACCGTCGCATAAAAGCATTCCTTCACCAATGAGTTCTGCTATATGCCCTTGTTCTTGAAGAAGTCGTTTAACATACGCAAGCTTAACATCACCAACAAATAATGGATGAGATTGGGGAATATTTTTTAAATTTGAATTCATAGGTAAAACATCTAAAGTAGGAAGATCTGTTTCATTAGGGAAAGAATCCGTGCAAAATTTAAGTTTTCCAATAACATGTGATATATTATAGTCTCCAAGCTATCATATTAAGAAATAATTTACTTTTATAAAGATATTACCTTCTTCCATCTTAAAGTATTTATAATATCATCAGAGAGCTTGAGATTGTAAGAATTAAGTCCTATGCCGATTTTCAATACTTCTCCTTGTAGAGGGGAATAAATATCATTAGTAAAAGAAACTAAAGTTTTAAATGTAGTCATCATGTTGTTTCTAGTCTCTTGATTGGAATGAATAAGAACCTTTATCATTAGTAAAATATAAATAATAAATATGACAAACTTACAAGCTTTCTTGGATTAACCATTGGAATTATAGTTTTTAAACTTTTTCCATCATGTAACCCTTCCATATCTATATACCTTAGAGAACATTTGATCATTATTTTCTCTTCACTAACAACGATTTTGCTAGGAATATGAACATCTTTATCAGTATTTTCCCTAGTTTGCACGTTGTTAGAAACACCTCCCCATTTTCGCTTCTTAGTTAGAGTATTAATCGATTTGTTAGTTTCGTTAGTAATATTAAAGTCTAAGTCCTCTTCCATCACACGAACAAATTTTTCTGGTATAATTATTTCGCCAAAATCATCAAATCTTCTTCTTTTCTCGAGAGTTGGAAACATCTTACAACGTGGCAACATTTTTTTTATTTCATTAGTTTGAAGATATAAATCATGAATACCGGGGTTTAACAAAGATCCAGAGCCTTTTGCTACTATAGAATCATTTTTGAAATGCATTCTATGGTTATTATTATCATCATCATCATCATTTGAATCGGAATCAGAACTATCAAAAAGATCTCTATTTTGAAATTCTAAAATCAATTCAGTAGTTTTTTTTTCTCGAGAAAGTTTCTCTTTTTCTTGATATTTTTCTAATTCATCACCTACTAATGGTACTAAAGTACGAATCTATGCAATTTAGTTAATAATAATAATAGAATCAAGTATCGTTACAGTAATATTTCTGCTAAAATTTAAAACAACTGATGAAGCTATAGATTGATTATATCCTTTTGTAACCATATTCCAACGATCCAAAAGATCTTTTGATAAAGAATTTTCATAATATATAGATTTTTGAGAAAGAATAACTAAATTTTTCGAATCTTTTGCAATATTATTAAGAAATATTTTTTGAGAAAATCCACAATCCATATTTGCACTAGTTGCTAAAATAACCTTAGGACCAGATACCATAGAAGAAAGCTCATGTTCATTAGAAATAATTTTAATATGTCTATAATCGTTAAATAGTAATATTAATAAAAAGTTATTTACGCAAATTCAAATACATTTCCATTCGATCCATATTCACTAATAATAGAATCGCTCATCCATTCCATCATGCTTTGAGCATATGATATCAGTTTACTTCCAGCATGAGTAAGAAAATAAATAGGATATTGAAGATTGTGTTGTTGCCAATAACGTTCCAAAATCCAACAAAATTCAAGGGAACGTGTTGCTGCATCTGTCGGAATTAATACACTTCCAAGTTGTATAAGCGTAATTCTAATAGAATCTTCAAAATTAATTATGAAAAAAATATAATAAAATAATTTTACCAAAAAAAGCTTCTATTCTTTTTTTACGTGAAGGAATAAAGACATTAGAATTTATTGCATCTGTTATAAGAGTTGTTGGCCTACTTAAAGCATCTAATACAACACCATTAGAATAAAGAATACTCCCATTAAGATGGCTGTCTTTAGAATGGTTCCAATCAACACAATAGACAATATTCTCAGAGTCCTTTGTAATTTTCCAGATAGTACCACCAAGAGAATGGCCTGAATTATATGCCGTAATAGTGATACCATCCAATTTCCCTAGATAACGCTGTAATATAATTATTATATAAAAAATTATATACCAGAAAGAGACGTTGGCTGAGAATAACGTAATGTAATTATAGAGTCAAAGGCTTCATCAATATCCTTTTTAGATATACTATCATCCAAAAGGTTCTTGTAACAATCAATCATTGTTACCCGACCCATATTAAAAATAGGAAGTGTTGCATATACTGGTACATTATGCCATCCACAATTTTTAAAGCCATTAACAAATGATCCTAAATGAAATATATCTGAATGAGAAAAAAGAATCAAATCTGGGACAAAATCAAGTACCACAAACTCTGAAAGAAGATCATCTGAACCTGGATCCAAAAGAATCTTAATTTCCCCAAAACTTAAAATTGATGCAATCCCTTTTCCAGGGTCGCTTATAGGAGAAAAATAAAGCATAAAAATAAAACTTTTTTTTTTAATTTTTTTTAATTTTTTTTTTTTAAAAATTATTTTTTATTCTAATTCGTTTAAACTTTTTTTTAAATGTCTTTAAACTATTTACACTCTACAGAATCTATAATCCGTCAAAAAGTATATTTTTTTCTTATTAAAATTATTTATTTTTATTTTAGTTAACAAAAGCATTATCACCATCTATTTTAGAGATTTATAATGATTCGTATCTACATAAATATCATGAACCAATGAAAAATAATACAAATCCTGAAAGCCATTTCAGGTAGCAATTTAAGTAGGAAGAAGTATTTATATAACCTAATATCAGGATCACAATAGTATCAGATGCTTTTAAAGGTCATGGACAAGTAGCGCGCCATAAAATAATTTATAATTTATTAAAAGAAGAATTAAAAAATGGCGTACATGCATTGCAGTTAAATACAAAAACATGTGAAGAAACATCAGAGATGAACAAATAAAAGAAAATATACAGATTAAAATCCATAATAATAAATTAGTTAAAAAACATTTATAACTATGTATTAAAATTTATGTTATATTTCTAAAATAATTATTATATATTTAAATAAAAAAAATCATCTAAAAAGAATGATAACCCAAGCAAAATGATAAATAAATAAATATCTATTAAAGTATTAGAAATATGCAATAATGAATCACCTTATAAAATTAATGATGTAACAGTAAAAAACGCAATATTATAATCCGAGCATTTTATATAATATATGGATCTAAAATGTATGAAAGATAATAATCTTTAAATTATGCAGCAAGAATAATTTTATTTGACTCTTCTAATTCCTGAGGTCGTTTTTCATCTTTTATATTACTAACCCAAAAAGAGTCATTTTGAAGATTTTTATTTTGACTTGAAAGACTATCAGTAAGTTCACCAGTTTTGCTATGAAACGAAATAGTAGGTTTTATAGATGATGTTTCAAAACTCCACTGAGAAAGAGCATTTTCACAATCAATAATTATTTGTTTTGATTGTTCATAACCATCATATGTTGCACGTGCTTCACCTGGTGTTATAGGACTATCATCTAAAAGTTCAAGTAAATATTTTCCATATCCTGCTATTAAAGCCATTTTTTCTGAATGTTCTTTAATTGCATCAAATTGATAAGTAAATGCTGTTTTTAATTTTTCTCTTGTAGTATTATTTAGCTGAGCTTCTGCAACAAGACATGAAGCTTCAATACGAACAAGCTCCTGCTCCAAAACAAGAAGCTTTTGAGAATCGGGCTCCTTATGTTTTAACATATATATTTGATCAATTAATTTTTGTCTTTTATCACGAGATGGTTGTACTGATGCTTCAATATTACGAATCGATTTCATTGTCATTCTATATTGATCATAACGATCTAAAAAAAGTTAAAAAGTTTAATTTTAAACATACAATTAATTGAACTATAGTAAATAAACATGCATACATACCAATAAAACTATCCTCTAATTCGCCAATTTCATAAATAAGAACACCAAGCTTGTCTGTTATATCAGAAATATCGTCATCACAATCTTCTCCCCATAAAGATAATTGTTTAGCAACTTCTTTACGTTCACGACCAACAAGCTCATATGAACGCATTACATTTTTTTCCATCTTAATAAGAACAGCAAGGCGTCTAGCAAGATCTGGTGAAAAAATTCTAGTATTATTAGCCATTTAAACGCTATATATCAAAGTATATACGCTGCAGATGACTTTTTAAATGAATGTCCAATAGACTTTAATCCAAAAAAACGACTAACTTTTGTTGAAGATACAGGTAAAGGAAAAGCATTCGCCTGAGAAGTTCCACAAGTACGAGTGCTTCTTACAGAATATGTTCTGTGCATTTCTGAATCCCAATTAATTTATTTAGAATATTCATAGTAAATTTACCTTTTCAAAAAAAAAAAAAAAACCAATATCCTTTTAAATTCTTAATTAATATTAAAATAAAATAAACCTCTTAATGAAATATACTGAAATATAGGAAAATGCTTCTATTTATTTATTAAAATTTTTAGCTTTTTTTAATATCTTAAGAATTTTAGTGTTTAGAAATTTAAAATCGATATGTTATCGTCGTCATTCTAATCAATATATATATAATGCTTATTAATTTATAAACAAAAATAACCTATGATTTTTCTTAGAAAAAGGCTTTTGATGTATATATTATAATAAAATTAATATTAAGATCTAATTATATAAAAATGTTAGTAAAAATTCATCTAGAAAATATAAAATTATCTATGTTGTATTGGAATATAGTTGTAAATAATTATTACTTTTATAATAATAATAAATTTTTTAAAGTATTTTAAAATAATTAGTAAACTTTTTGAATTATTCTAGAAATAATATGGAAAAGTTAAGTAATTAAAGATAAATATTAATTCTTGAAAGTTTTTTAAAAATTTAAAAGTAAATATATTTTATATAAAATTTAATAAAAATAGCGTCTTAAATTGTTTAAAAAATCACATTTTCAAATTTTAATTTATCATTAAAAATAACTTAAGAAATATGTTAAAATCAAAATTTTCTTTTACTATAAGATAAAATTATTTTATAAATAAAATATTTAGATAATTCTTTATGTAAAGCTTTTTATTTTTTAAAAGTATATAATCATATTCGAAATATGAATTTTTAAAATTATTTAATTTTATATTTTAAAGGTATTATTTTATGTATTTATGTTTAAAAGTCAAAAACAGATTAAGGAACATATTTTAATTTTAATATTTTCAAAAGCGTACTTAAAATTTTCTATTTTTTAAATTCAAAATTATATCAAATTTTAAATCACAATAGGCTTAAATTTAATAAATAAAATTATTAAACAAAATTTCAATAGAAATCAAAAATTATAATGAATTCCTTTGAATTCAGGAAAAAAATACATTCTAAATATATTATTACTTTAATATTTAGCCTAGGCTTTTTTATTCGAATTATTTTACTAAGAAATAAAAATCTTGTATCTTTATTAAGCAATCGTGTTGAAATAGCTACTGCAGTAACAAGTTATAAACGACGTATGATGTGCTTATTATCTATAATTTTATATAATTATTGTTAGTTAAAGAAGGTCTTTTTCTTTATGAACATGGAATTTCTCCATATAGTGGAGGTTTATTTCATCAAGTTTTACTTTTTTATGTATTTTTTATATTTTTACTTACAATTCTAGGCACCTTTATTACTTGTATTATTTTCAATAATTAAACTTATTTCTAATTCAGAAACACTTGTCTCATTGCTTTTTGCACTTACAGACATATTTTCTGCATGGTCTCTTTTGGATTTATCAGACTCTATGTTTTCCAAAAATTCTTCTTCAAATCTTTGGAAAAAGTATATTTCTGTTTCCTTGTAATATTACTCTTTTTTTTCATTTTTTTATTGTTTTTAGATTCCTTTTTAATCCTTATTCTATTATTTCTTGTGTCGGAATGTCAACTGCTATTTTTACGAATTGTTTTATATTAACTAGCCTTTCTTATGTACAACGCAGTAAATTTTAATCACAATGTTATTATTATCTTAATATTTTAGGAAAATCTATACAATCTATTTTTTTTTTGGCTTTAGCAACTTATTTAAGTTTCTATCCTGTGGTTTTATTTCCACCATTAATACTTATACTTCAAAAAAATGATCTTAAAAAAAAAGACGTAATATTCTTCTAAATTATTTAAAATTTACTAAAATGCAATTAGTCTATTTCCAAAAATATTATACTATTTCTTATAGAATTATCATTATTATTGTTATTGAGTTTTATTATAACTAATTCATGGGATTTCTTATCTGCAACATATGGGGCCATGTAATATTTGCATTATTTATATTTACTTAATAATCTTATATAGATTATTTGTATCTGATCTCACACCTAATATTGGACTTTGGTGGTATTTTTTTACAGAAATATTCGATTCATTTAGACTGTTTTTTATTTTTGTTTTTCAATTGCACATATTCGTTTATATAATACCGCTATGCATACGATTAAGGTATTTTACTATTAATTCATTATCATATTTCTAATGTTCATAAGAAAATATCCTTTTTTTATAATTATCATATTGTGTGGATTAATGTCTATTCTTAAATCATATCCATCAATTGCAGATGTAGTGTTATTTATGTCATTATTTCCGTTTCTTCACTCAATTTATTCATGTATTTTATTATTTTTTAAGAAATCAATACTAAAATTCATTTTAGATATGCGTCATATTTTTGTAACAACAATTTGTTTTCTTTATTGTACTTTTCTTGGACCTGCCTTTTATTATCTTTGGACATATATCGGCTCTGGAAATGCAAACTTTTTTTATAGCATCACACTCGTTTGGAATTTCAATTTAAGCATTATTATAACTGATATAGTCTTTGCAATATTAAAAATGGAAATGGAAATAGAAAGGCCTGACATGAAAGGAATTGACGTTATTCAAGTAAATTATTAACATAAATCTTTTGACAAAATTTTATAATCTGATTCTATAATTTTACCAGAAAAATCTCTTAAAAGCGGTGAAATTTTATCTCGAGAATATCTATAATAAATCGTTTTCTAAAATAATACTAATATTTCAAATTACCCCATTTTTTCATAAAAACTCAATGCAATTTTATTGCAATTAAATACAGTTAACATAGCTTTTCTAAAACCCAGTTTTAGACCCAAATTTTCCATTATTTTCATAAGATTATATCCAATACCAAATCCACGATATGCTTGTAGAACTTGTATTTCATAACTAAAATTTATAAATTAAAATATATTCATCTTTATAAATTATAGTACCAATAAATAACATGTTCACCTGCTTCAGTTACAAATTGACAACTTAAAAATCCAATGATATCTTGTTTCTTTTCTTTTCTAATAATAATATATTTTGTATTCTTTGCTTTCATTTCTTTAAGTTTTCTCTTGGATGACCATCCAAAAGATGATTTCTTGTACCTTTTCAATATATATAATAAAATTTAAAAATAAACATTAATTTACATTTCTTCTAAATTTTCTTTGACAAGACAAAAACAAGAATATATATCTTTTTTCTTAATATTTTTCATATCAAATAATTCAGCTTCATATATATCATTGCTATTATTATTATTATTATTTTAAATTTAATTAATTTATATCTACTTCTTATAATTATAAATCTTATCATATGGCATAAGATTCTTAAGATCATTTAAACAAAGACTATTAGCTATTTTAACAATATTATCTTTTGTTAAATCCATTTTTATTATTTATTAATTTTATTAACTTATTTATATCATCTTCTAGTTATATATAAAATTTCGAAGCCATCACTATTCATAGGCTTCATGGTGTAGTGGTAGCACATGGGATTTTGATACGAAATATTCCCACAACCCGAGTTCGATCCTCGGTGAGGCCTAAGTTTTTTTAGAGTTATTTACTTAAATATAAATAAATTGGTTTAAAAATTTCTTATTTATTAATATTTAATAAGCACTAAATTTTTTAAATAAATTAAAAATTTAATAAAATCTATAATTAAATTAATTTCGTGAATTTTCATCATTTATTTTTTAAAATTATTATCATTTATATAAGAACGATGACATTGGAGCTTCATATTCATTTTCCGGGATTTGATCTTCCGTCTATTGATCCTTATTGTCTCAGTGTACTTTGTTACTTACAAATAACAGCGCCAGGGTTATATTCTGTAATTTATTCTAATAATAATACATTATCTCCAACAGGTATATTTTATAATGTTATAATAAGTAAATAATATAGAAATAGGGAAATTACCAGCTCTTAGGGATTCAGGAACATGGATTGGGGGCTGGAATAATATTATAGACTATTTAAAGCAGAAAGGATTTGATGCAGACGATTCTTTAACAGATATTCAAAAGGCAGATAGCATTGCGTTTGTTTTTTTTTTTCAAAAATGATAAGCTAATTTTAAAAGATATGAGTCTCTTATTCATGGTCTCGGATTTGACCTTACAGTAAGATAGAATTGACATACATTATTTCTCTAATAATTAATAGCTATTCAATATTTATGTTGATGATGAAAATTATTCAAATGTTACTAGACCGCTTTATTATAAAAAAAGCTTTTCTTTTTTATCTTCTTATCTAGCTCTTGTACATGTTAGAAACTTTGCAAAAAAAAGGACTGAATATTTCGACATAAAACAAGCACATTCTAATCAAATAAAAAATTTCCATTCAATTTTTTACTATCACTTGAAAAACACATCTTATGATTTTAAAAAAGAAGCAAAGATTGAAAAAGTAAATTAGTTTCATTTATTGATATCATTAATGAATTTAGTTAAAAATATTATCTTCAAACTTCTACAGATTATTAGCTTTTAAACTTTCTTCTCAACCATTTATATTTGGAGATCAACCTACTTCTCTTGATTGCTTAATATTTGGTCATCTTGCATTACAATTTTTTCCAACTTTATCGAACTCTACATTATCTGAGCACCTAAAAACTACTGAACCATTGCTTGTATCTTATTTGCATCATTCTTTTTCTAAATATTTTCAAGAAAACAAACCACTTAATATTGAAACTACTAAATCAAACTATTTTTCCAATACGACAAGTATACTATGGAATAATTTTATTTCTTTTAGTCCATTTATTCAACTAAAAGAATTGGTAGGAGTAAACAATCCTGAAAAGCGAAGAAAGTTTTTTACTGTTACTTCCAGTATTTTGGGGTTTATATTTTATGTTTATATTACAGGCATAATAAAAATAGAAACTGAAGATCATAATAAAAATGATTCAGAAGAAGCAGAACCTTTAAGCAATGATTCAACTGTATAATACATTATTATTATTTCTCATTGAAATGCATTTTCTAATATAATTTTTATGAATACTATGCTTTTTCAATAAATGTTGATAGATATTATGATTTTCATATTTCAATTTATTAAATTATCATTGTCTTAATTCCAAAATAATTATTAACTTTTGTAATATCAAATTAAAAAATATTGCATATTTAAACACCCCCAATTGATATTTGCATAAAAATAACCATTATTTATAGAATAAAATCATCAAAATTAATCATTATTTTAATATAGTCAGATTTTTAGAAAAAGTATGAATACATAAACCTAAATATAGACTTTTAAAGAATTAAACAAAATCTGATGATTAAAAGAGGTAAAAATTATATATGCTATATTACATCGTATTTATCTATAGTCAATTACATTATCAAGAAATATTAAAATACCACTTTTTTTTTAAAAAAATAACCAATCATTATACCAAAATAGAAAATATTATATTTTAAAATTTATAAATATTATTTCTTTCTAGGCACCCATATCCTAAGTACGTCGTTGAGCTTGTTTTTGGTATTTTATAATCAATTCCTAAATATTATTAGTACAATTTGCATAAAAATTTAAATACTTTTTGAATATAATCAGGGACTACTGAATGCTTTAGATATTCAGCAGTAAATTCCCCTTTACCTTGAGTATTTGCTCGTAAATCCATATTATATCCTTTTATTATAAATAAGTTTAAAACTAAAATAATAAACAATTTAATTTACCAAACATATTATTCAGTGGAATTTCTGCTTCCACTGTAAAATCATCAGATCTAATATCAGTGTTTAATATAACAGCTTTCTTTTTATTAAGTCCGCTAATAATTGCATTTGAAAATTCATTTTCAGCAGTAACAACTAATTTCATAATAGGTTCAAGAATTATAGGATTCGCTTTATTATATGCCTGTTTAAAAGCGTTAAGAGTTGCTATATAAAAAGATAGTTCAGAAGAATCAACAGAATGTGTAGCACCATCTTCTAGCACCATACGACATCCTTTAATTGGATATCCTATTAGAAGACCATTTTTTAAAGCATCTTTAAATCCCTTTTCATAAAATTAGACAAAATTATATAAAATTTTAAGAATAAACCCTTTCACATGCAAGTATAAAATTTGTTGGAATATTACCACATGTAACATTACTCAAAAATTCTACATCCAAATTCGAAGGATTACCTGATACTATAGGCTCTATATATCCTTCGACTTTACCGAATTGACCTGCCCCTCCAGTCTGTTTTTTATGAGTACTAATATTTATTAAAAACATATTATAAAAATAAAAAAATTATACTAATTAAAAGTGGATCTAGATGTAATAGTTTCCCTGTATGCAACTTGAGGCTTTCCTACAGTACATTCAACATTATACTCCCGTTTCATTCTTTCGACATAAATATCTAAATGAAGTTCTCCCATTCCTGAAATAATAGTTTCTTTACTTTCTGAATCAAGTTTAACTTTAAATGTTGGATCTTCTTTCTGAAATCTAGCAAGAGCCCTAGAAAAACCTGGCGATTCTTTTCCTTTCTGTTTTAAAGATAGTGAAACAACAGGCTCAGGAACAAACATTGAAGTCTAATTAATGTTATAACTCTTTTTTTCCTTAAAGAAAATAAATACCATTGAATACATTAAAGAATCGTCAGCAAAAGTATCTCCGGATACGCAATCAATACCAAAAATTGCACAAATTTCCCCTGAACCTATTGTTTCAATATCCTTTTATAAGTTAAATAAATTCCTTTATAAAAACAAGCAATCACCTCCATTTCATTTGAATGTATTTTAACAAGCCGAGGAATTCTAACTTTTTTCCTTGTTCTCATATTTGTAACATAATCACCTTTTTTTAAAGTTCCTTGATATACTCTAAAATATGTGAGTTGCCCATATTTGCTTTCTTCAAGTTTAAAAGCTAGTCCAACAAATTTCTCAGTATCAGATGGAATTAACTTAACGCATTCTTCATTATTCGAAATATCTAAAGCAATATTTTCAACTTCAGCAGGTGTAGGCAAAAAATCGCAAATAGCATCTAAAACTGGCTGAATAGCTATATCTTGAAGAGCAGAACCCATAAGAACAGGCGTAAATTTTCTCTCCAGTGTTGTTCTACGTATTGCGCTATATAATTGCTTTTCAGTAGGCATTTTTTCATTAAGAAACAATTCAGCAATTTCATTGTCTATATCTGCTAAAGCTTCAATTAAATCAATTCTTTTCTCGTTAACCAATTGTAGAAGGTCATTAGGAATTTCATCTTTCTCAACTACAATAATTCTAAAAATCTTTAGTAATTTATAAATCATTATAAATTATACCCTCTATGTCCCTCATTATATATCGCTTTCATTTTTATAATATCAACAACACCTACAAATGTAGAATTATCAAAAATAGGTACATGTATAGCTGCAGAAGATATTTTTAATTTATTTTTAATCTGTTCAATTACTTTCCATGGATTAGATCCAATACGATCCATCTATAATATATTATTAAAAATGACAAAAAATACACTTAATATAACTTTATTGATGAAAGAAATACGAGGAATATTATATCTTTTCATCTGCTTGTCAACAGTAATAGTTTGACTCTGATTTTTTAAGTATACTATTCATATATTTTATAAATTTACCTGGACACCTGATACTGAACATAATACAAGTACAGCCCCATCCAATACTCTTAAAGCCCTTTCAACCTCAATAGTAAAATCAATATGACCTAATCGATTAAATCATTTCTATAATATATAATATATATATATATATATATACCTGGAGTATCGATAATATTAATAGAGTACTTTTGTTCTTTTCCATCATCCTGTTTAACCCAATCACAATAAGTCGCTGCCGATTGAATAGTTATGCCTTTTTCTCTTTCCAAATCCTTTATCATCAATTTTTAACTCCTTAAAAACCTTTATTACCATAAAATCCTATATTACATAAGAATATAACTATAACCATAAAATAGATTAACCATTTTCGCACCAATATTATCTTTTCCTTTAACTTCATGAATACTTTTGATTTTTCCTGTATAATAAAGTACACGTTCTGTAAAAGTAGTTTTTCCAGAGTCAATATGAGCACTAATCCCTACATTTCTTTGCCATTTTAAACGCTCTATTAAATCAATTCAAGAAAAAGAAAAAAAATAAACAAATAACCCATATTATTTTCAATAATATTCTTATCTTTTCTCTTTAATACATGTTGAGTTGAATTTGAAGAAGTATTAAGTGTAGATAAATATTTCAATTGAAATAGAAAATACAGATGATTCTTATCTGGTCTTTTTAATAAGAAAGATAATAGAGGAGATTTGAAGAGCTGATAAGACATTTAAAAGTATTAAAATTTTATCTCATTGATTATAATTTTAAAAATAATTTATAAAAATTCGAGATTAAAAAATAAATTAAAAAGTTGTTTTATTAAAAAAATAAGCTAAACAACATTATTTCTATTTAAATATTTATGTAATTTTTAAATATAAAATTATATAGAATATATTTAATAAACTAAAATTATTATATAATAAATAACTAAAATTATTTTATTATATAATAGATAACTATACTATTAAATCTTAAGTTTATTTAAAAAATAAATATTTTAATCTGGAAAAATTATATAACTTTTTTAAAAAAAAAGACAATTAAGATATCACTTTTCTTTAGTCCTTAAAACTGACCTCTACATAAAGAATTTTTTTATATGTATTACACTTTTTGTAAGTAGTTATGGGCATAGATTTAACAAATGAAGAAGAATCTAATGCAGAATCTGATGAAGGATCATCTTTTGTATCAAAATTCGTAATAGTTGTATTTTCAGTAAAGTGATCGATAGTAGATTTATCTTTATCTTCTAAAGGAAACACAAAAGTAGTAACCTAAAGAACAATTTAAATATTATAACCTTATATAACCATGAAAACTACCCTTTTTAATAAAAAATTACTACTTTTTGAGGGTACAAAAAATAAAGTAATTTTAAATTTATCTATATTTTTCCAAATTTATTCAATTTTGAAAAATTCTTACCATTTTCAATTAAATCTTTTGCATTTTTTTTCTGTTTTTGTAATTGATCTTTTTGTAATTTAAGTATAATTGAAGGTTTAATAAAATCTATAATATTCTAAAAATTCATATATATATATACAATAATTTCCATTTAAAAGACATACTTGTAAAACAGAATCAGTAATAGATGAAGGATATGCGTTATTTAAAAAGAATCGCATTTCAATCAGCAGATCATTAGAAATTTGTAAATATTTCCGGTTAGTTATAGAATGCAACATTAAAAAAGTAAAATATAACTAATTATACATATTAAAAGGATTTTATAGAGAAAACCATATTTTACTAGTTGTAATAGAATATAAGTTAACAATTTCCTCTAATATTTTATCATTTTAAAAAATTCAAAATCCTCATTCGTACTTGTTAAATTTAATTTTAATTATCAAAATCTTAACTATTTTTATAAAAAAGCAATATTTTACATAAATTTATAAAATTATTCAAAATTAATATTAAAAACATCTATAAATCAAAAGTTTTTAATTTAAAAATTATATATTTCTAAATATTTTATGATAAATATATAGGAAATATCAAAGCTTAGAAAAATATATAAAAAAATGCTAATCAAAATATATAATAATAAATACAATAATATATTTTCCTAGTATACAATATATTTTCCCACTATACAATATATTAAATTATTCAAAATTTTCCAAATTGTTTTGCAGAATCTAATTCACTATGTCTTTCGACTCGTAAAACATTAAAACGAACAGTCTTTGAAAGAGGTCGACATTGACCTACAGTAACAATGTCCCCTTCATTTACACGAAATGCCGGAGATAAATGTGCTGAAAAATTTTTATGACGCTTCTCATAACGATTATATTTAGGAATATAATGAAGATATTCTCTTCGAACAATAATAGTTCGTGTCATTTTAGTAGAAACTACTGTTCCAGTAAGAATACGTCCACGAATAGAAACATTTCCAACAAAAGGGCATTTCTTATCTATATTACTTTTATGTTAGTTTCTAAAAAAAAAAAATATCATTTTTTAAAAATATCTCAATAAATATGAGACTTAAATAAAATTTATAAAAAAATATAAGCCGTACTAACCAATATATTCCCCTTTAATAGCTTCTTTTGGTGTTTTAAACCCAAGACCAACATCTTTATACCATCTTCGAGTTTTCCCAAATTTTTTATTTAATGAAGCTTTTGTATTTAAAAAAATATGTCTAAGAAAAAATTAAGGACTATTAAAACTTAGAAAACTTACGGTTGTTTCTGAAAACCACGTTCAGATTGTAATATAAGTTCAGACATTAATAGAACTTAGTTTTTTTCTAATAATATTTTAAGCGATAAAAATTAAGTCACATACAAAATAAATTATAATATCTTAGAAAGTAAAAGCTTAATTAAATTATACATAATTATATATAAATCATTTAAAAATCGCTACATACAGAACCTAATGCTTTTATACCTCCAACTGAAATTTTTTCTAGTATAGCCTTCAATATTTTAGAAGTATTAGAATTGCCATAAACAGTATGAATATCTATTAAATCATAATTATTTAAATTAGGATATTCATAAAGAATTGAGTGGCGAAGTTTAAAGGTTACATGAAATTTTGAAAAAGATAATGGTAAAAACACTTTTGCTGTAACGAGCAATAATGGTTCACCATTTTCAATCGTTAAATTATACAGTAAAGGATATCGAACTTTAAGTAAACAAAATTCTGACCATATTAAAGTTACCGTATACCATATGCTACATATAAGAGACAATGCCTAAATAGAATTTAAAATAATTTATAAATTTATAAAATTATATTTACTTCTTTAACTGTACAGCCTACCAATCTTTTTTCCAAATAATCAAAAAAAAACTCTTTAATCTGAAAAAGATTAGAAATATATAGATAGATAGATAGAAGTTAAAGAAAGAAACCTTGTCTTTTATGTCTCCAGTCCATTTTATTGATACATTGTTTTTAATAAAATTAAATGTAGTTTCAATCGTGTCTAAATATATAAAAACTACAGTATCATGAAAGAAATGTTTTGCTTCCCATCCAGTGACAAATTTAAGAACTTGTAGCATTTTTCTAATATTTTCAATTTCACCTTTTTCAAAACAACGGTTAACTTCTATCACTTTTTTATATTCTTCTATCTCTTGATTTAATTTTATTTGTTTTTCAGATAACTCATGTAATTTATCATCGATTTCATGTATGTTTTTCTTAAGTTTTTCAAAATGTTTCATATCAGCTTGTAATTCCTCATTAATTTTAAATAAATTAGAGCGAACTTTTTTCAATTCTTTTTGGTCACACTGACTAATTTCCTCCTTAATAGCTTTCATATGCTTTACTTTTTCTTTCAAAGATTTATACGTCTGTTTTATAAAAGGAAAATACGTATTTAAAATAGGTTTAGATTCATTAATTATTAATTCATCCTTGATAGTATATTAATAATCAATTAAAAAATATAAACAAAATACCTTCTTTAATCCTTCCAAATTCTTCTCTAGCCCTTCTTTCAAACCTAACAATAGTTTATCTCTCCAATCATACCATACACTTTTAGCATAAAGTCTTGAATAATTTTTAAGTAATTTAAATTGACCATCCATAATAACTCGAATATCATGAGAAGCATAGATATATTCTCGAAAAAGTAAAGGATTCTCTTCAGAAGTATCTTCCTCAATTTTGTTAACCACCTCTTTCCCCTCTGATATATATTTTTGAAGCTCTTTACAACTCTTACAAAAGTTAGCATAAAAAATAAAACACTTAGAAATCTAGCATACAAATTGATAAAGCTCAAGAGTAGGAAGCGTAAGAGATGATGCATAAACCAATTCTTTTAAAGTTGGAGGATTTGTATTTAAATAAGGAAAAAATGTAGTCTCTCTTCGTTTTGTAGTAGTAAGCCCATCCAAAAAAGATATTGATGTCATCTTCAAAAATTCTGTTAAAGTGATCGAAGGTAAAAACTAGGACAAATCAATTATTCATCAAATATAAACTGATATAACTTACATTATCTTCATCATGTGTCTCGATTAAATGATCTGAATACTCTTTAATATTTGAGCCTTCACACGTTTTTTTCATAGGGCTAATAATATCAGCATCATTTAAAGTATTTTCATAATTCCTTTTGAGCCTAGATTCAGAATTTTCATGAATATCGTCTTTTGAAGTATTTTGAAGAGATAATTGAGATGAGATAACGCTCTTCTCAGGAGTTAATTGAAACGGCACATTCTTTTTAGGTGTTAATTGAGCAATACGATCCAAAATATTGAAACCGTTTACAGTAAAAATATCTAATCCAGACGTTCCATTTTCTCGTGTTGATTTGTCACCCACAATAATTTTAGTAGTTGGACTACCTAATCCTACCAATTTCATTTCCTCATAACAACCTATACTTTTTCGACTTTTTAAAAGCTTTGCAGCTTTTGGAGATCCTAGCTGAATTGGTGCAACTGTATCACTTACGTTACGAATATTATTTAATGTATTTTTTCCAAAAAGGGCATCCATAGCCAAAACACCATTACGGGGAATTCTTTGAGGTGATTTTAACTCAGTATTAGGCGACTTCTTTATATCGATACCCATTGGTAAACTATCATGTTCTAACGAAACATATTCTTTTTCCACATTTTTTAATGTTAAATTATCCTTGTGTTCCAAAATGGATGGTACAATTTTAGTAAGATCCATTCCAACTGTATTATCATCTTCATAAACATCTACAGGCTTATGAAAATCATCTAAAGAAAAGCACTCAGTAGACGTATCAGACTGCATCTTTCTTTGTATATCTGATTTCTCCTCTGAACAAACATTATTGGAGGAAAAATCTAAATCCTTCTTAATTTCTTCGTTAACGGTTAAAATATTCCCAATAGTAGTTGTAAAATCCATTGTTAATCCTTATAAAATAAGAAACATTTATTAAAAAACAATTACATACCATCTTTTTGATCTATTTCATTTAAATTCCTAAGAATACCTCCAACAACTTTAGTAGTATCCATATCTACTATATCTTTTATTAATTATGATATAATTACTAATAAACCCTACCAGGATCTGTGTGATTGGCAATTTTTAAAAATCCATGATCAGTTGTATTCAATTCCATAGCTAGCTCTGGTTTTTTTCTCAAAAATTAATCTTAATAATAAATATTATCTTACTTTCAGTATATTTTTTATCAGACTGCGACTGAAAGTCAAAAAGTAATTTACTCTGATCTTCTTGAATCCCACCCAAAGCCACTGTTAAGTCCATTGCTACTTCATTATTTTTTTCAACCGAATTATCAAATACATTGGTTAAATGAATCAATGGTTCCTCAGTAACATTTTTTTTTAATATTGAGCATGGGAGTACCTTAGTTATATCCATTGTTACTTCTACATCTTGTTCTTCGGATACAACATCAGAAACAACATCTACCACATCCATTGCTACTTCTTGAGCATTTTTTTCCTCAAATACTGGATTAGAAATAACTTCTGTCAAATCCATTGTCATTTCTCCATCAATATCTTTAAAAACACCATTATCCTCACAATCACGGAATCCCTTTCCATAATTATTTCCAATATCAGAGAAAAATACATTTTCCGATGATTCAATATCAACATGATCTATATCATCTGAAAACTCTTGTCCTTGAGGAATTGGTATAGGCGAATTTATATATGCTTTTGAAGGTTTTATAGGGGAAATACATTTTATAGGTGATGGCGTCTTCGGTGAATCATTTAATACTGTTGACTTTTTAGTTTTAAGGTTTCTACTAGAATTAGCATAACAAATAAATAAATTCATCAAAACCGTTTAATCGGTGACAATAAAAAATTTTCTTTCAAAGATGTAGTAGTCTTAACTGGTGAACTAGGATTAGGTGACTGAAATTCCTGTTCTTTTTCAAATAATCTATTCGATCAAAAAAATTAATTAATTAAAACAAAATCAAACCTTACGGACGCATAATTTGCAAAGCTAACACGACGATTAAGACTCTTTCGTCCCTGATTCCTCTTCATCTCCCCATTCTCTGTTTCTTTTTCATTATCTTTCAATGCAACTTGCATTATTCCTATAACAGTATGATTATCCATATCACTTTTATAACTTGAATCTTGTGCACTGCCTAAAGAATACACTGATGTCTTCAATATACCCTTATTAGGCATCTACATAAAAACATCAAAACCTTAATATAACCCAATTCATAGTCAAACCTCTAACGTTGTTGATCTTGGCTCCCGTTTACCTAATAAAGGCTTTACAAACTTCTCATCTCCTCTTCCATCAAATGACTTGGAACGTTTAAGATATGGTCCTTCTCCTAATACTGTTCCTTTACTTCTATTTGGTGATAGGTTTTCTTTATTTAATATCTCTTTATTTAATATCTCTTGTTTCTTAGATTCCCACTTAAATCCTGGACTTTTAATATCCATTGGACTCTTATAACAAGTTTAACCTTAATTTATTAGTAAATAACAATAATATTAAGAACTTTTATTACTTGTTAATAATTTCTTTATTTTTAAAGCTCATAAACAAATCGATCTTAAAAATCATGGTAAAAAATAAATTAGACTTTATTAACATTTAGAGAATAATTAAAGGATTTATAAGGCAATTGTTATTAAAATGTCTAATTTAGAATTAGAAAATAATAAATGGGTTAAGGTATTGTTTAAATTTATTAAAACAGAGGGTTAAATAGTTATTTAAGTTATTAGGATTTCATGGCCCAGTTACATCAGTTTTATTTCTTAATAAATCAATTTTATTTGCAGGGCAGGGACCTTATATTAAAATCTATGATGTTAAAAATGGAATGGTTATTTATAGAGCAAAAGTTTTTAAGAAAAATCGAATACATGGAATAGTATATGGTTGTTGGAATGAAGTCTAATTTTATTTACTGAATTATACAAAGCTAAGGAGAATACATTAATTATTTGGGGCGGAAAAGATTTTTGTATAGTTAAATTAAATGAATTATTTAATAAGGATGATTTTGATATTAATCAAGCACTGGATTGGATTTTTGATGCAAAGCTATCATATGATAAATTATATATATTACTAGCAACGGCACATAATAAAGTATATGTATATGATATTGAGAGGAAAGAGTATATTCAGACATTTTCATGTATAGAAAATCCTCTTTTATATTCATCATGCCTCTATATTTATTGTGATGGATCAATTACAGTTGTTTCAGGAACAATATTTAATGAAATATGTGTATGGAGTATTAATTCGGTAGAAATAGTAAAAAAAAAGGACATAATGATACAAATTACACATCGTTTAAAAGGACATGAAGGAATAGTTTTTAAAATTAATTTTTCAAAAAATGGAAAATTATTTTGTACATGTTCAGATGATAGAAGTGTTAGAATATGGGATATAAATTCGGGGGAATGTAAAGCTATTGGATGGGGTCATGATTCTCGTATATGGGACGTTAAATTTATTGGTAATGAAGAGTCTAAACTTATTAGTGTGTCAGAAGATACTACTGCTAGATTATGGAAAATAACATCAGGTTCAAAATTGGAGCAAGATTCTGTATATGATGGTCATGAAGGAAAAAATGTATGGTGTGTTTCAGTTTTTGGAAATATGTTTGCAACAGGTGGAAGTGATGGAAAAATACGTCTATGGGAAATAAATGACAAAACTAAACGTAAGAATTATATATATATATATATTATTTTCAAATATAATATATGATATAGCGGAATATTATATAACTCCATATGATATTAGAAATGTCACCAATTCATTTAATAAATTATACGATGTACCAATTTTTGATTTACTAATAGTTTATAACGTATATTAGACTTTTCGAAGTTATGCTTTAGTTAATTCTTTTCAGATTTTAATTGTTTCTATATTTGGGTAAATATTTATATATATTCATAAGACAATGATAATATTCTTTAGAAAAGTATTAATACATGATACTAAAACGAAAAAATCGAATTATTTATTTTATGATTTAGATCTTAGTGGATTTTCTAAAATTTCTCTTTGGTCTGAGACAGATTTTGTGAATATTTCTGATAAACTTGGCAATATATACCTTTTAAATATCAAAAATAAATTATCTGTAAAAATCTTTTTATAATAATATTACTTACTTACTCTATTTAGACTTCAAAATATCATATATCTAATGAAAAAATACAATCATTATTTCCCATATCATTTAAAGGTATTTTTAGTGTTTTTATCCAATATCTCAGATATATTAATAAAAAGATTCTTTATATCTTATAACAGTTTCAGCAATATCCTTACGCATTCATCTTCATTTGTTTAAATATATTGAGGTATGTTTATAAATATAATGATTAATAAATAAGGTGATTATAAAATAGTCCAGTTTTATATATGAAAAAAAAGATATTATTTCAATTGCACCAATGGAGTTAACTGCTGCTGCAATTGATTTTAAAACAAATTTAATATTTCTTGGGTTTAAGACGGGGCTTTTAAGTATACATCGTCTAGAAAGTTTTGGAGAAGGACTTTCTAGTATTTATTTAGTTGATGATTTATATAAAAAAAATGCATTATCTACTATTATCATTCATTCACATGAGGAGACTTTATTCAATAAAAGATTAGAAATAACAACAATTGGGCGCGATTGGATATATTATATATTGGAATTAACGATTTATAATGGAGATGATAATGATAGTAAAATAACTGTTGAAAAAAGACATCAAGGAAAATGTAGCAAGCATGGAATAGAAGGGGTAATTTGAATTGCATCCTTGTAAGAAATAATTTATATCAGGGTTTTTATTTAAAAGAAGATTTAATACTTTATGGTTTTAAAAAACTTAGATTCTCCGTATGGAATCAATCAAAAGGATTTCGTATATTTTCAGTAGTATGTGGTGGATCACATAGACATTGGTCCATATATTTTTCCTGTTCAGAAAACAAAGAAAATTCAACATTTATTTTTACTAGATCAAACTCTGTTCGGATTATTCAATTATATTTATTAATAACTAAGAGCGTTTAGATTATTATTTGCAACTTCCTTTTATTATTCCCTTTTCAAAATTTCCAAAAAACAATACTTCAAGATGGGAGACATGGCAGAGAAATCAGAAGCATGGCATTTTATCCTATTTCGTATCAAAGAAATACATTATTGTTCTTAACAGGTGCAGAAGATACTACTTTAAGGTTGTCAAAACGTAAGTTATTCTTAATATTACTTATATTCTGGTTTGACATAAAGAAAGTGTATATTACTAATTGTAGTGAAATTATTAATATATATTGTGAAAAAGAACATGATACAGGCATAGAAAAAATATCATGGTCAAAAAATGGTTTATTTTTTTTCTCATGTGGAGGAGCAGAGGAATTTGTTGCATGGAAATTTTCAATAAAAGATTTAAATCATGTAAGAATAATTAGACATGCAATTTGTCCAGCAATAAATAAAAGGAAAAATGTTCGTATTATGGATTTTTCAGTTATAGAATTTAGTAATAAAGATAATTACTTAATTATAATGGCTTGTTCAGATTCATCAATTAGGGTAACTATTAGTTTGATAGAATAATATTTTTAATGACGCTTTTAGATTTGGTCATTTCTATCTAAAACATCAGAATATATCTTACTTTTAAACAAAAAATATTCCACAAAATGTCCTTTAAATGTTACATATATTTTGGAAAAAGAATATTGTTATTTATTAGTAACATCAACAGATGGTTTCATAACATTATGGGATATAAGTAATTATATTCATTCATCTGAAATTATTATGAAAAACTCTGAAGAATCTTTTCTTCCAATTTGGAAAGATCAAATACATCAATCAAATATTAAATCAATGACATTAAGACATATAGAAGGTAATATTTATATATATATTATAAGCTAAGAAATTAAATATCTTAGAAAATACGTATCTATTAGTTACAGGCGGTGATGATAATAAGATAAATATATTAAAAATTACAATAAAACTAGACTCAAATCTTTCAAACTATAAAATATCTTGTAAAACTATCATGAATAAACTAGATGCACACAATTCTTCTATAACCGGTTTAGCATTTAGTGTCTCTGGTCTATTATTTTCCGTAGCAGCAGATCAAAGATTAAAAATATGGAAAATCAACACTTCAGAATTACTTTATCTTGCCGAATTTTATACTTATATTGCTGACCCTTGCGGGATATCTATTGCAAAAATTCTAAATAAAGAAATTTTAACTATTTATGGTATAGGATTAGAGTTTTTTTCATTTGATTACACATCTTTTATATAACTACAAAAAATAACTTTATAATTATCAGTTTTACTTAAATTCTATAAAAAATTAAGCAGTTAAAAAATATCGTATTTAACTTCTTATAAAATATGAATAATGGATCTTGGAAAAATACAATTCAGTGAGAAGATAAACCAGGTGATTCAGAATGCTTTTATGAAATTTAAGCTAGAACATGCTGAATTTTTTAAAGCAAGTTTATATTTAATATATATTTTTTTAATTTTTAAAAGAATGAATTAAAAATTGCACAAAATACTATAAAATATACACAAGATATACACTGGTTTAATAATTTAGATTCAAATATAATTGATGATTCTCTTATTTCAAAGGCTAATTCTTCTGAAGAAAAGATAAATTTTTATGCAGTGGTAGTTCTTTTTCTATATATTTTATATTGCTAAAATCTAAAAGAATTATAATAGTTCTTCAAAAACTGGTAAACATATTTTTCAGAAATGTATAATTATTGAAAATGTGCCGGCACTTCCAAAATATAAAGGAAATATGTCATTAAGACTTAATGTTATTAAGAATGATGAAGAAACTCTTAGGTTTATACCTTATATTGGGGAGGGTAATGAGGATAGTGATCTTAATTTGCATGAGACATTTGAAATTAAAATAAAGATCCAAAGTAAAGAAGAAATTTTGGAAAGCATGTTTTTTGTATTATATATATATTATATTTTTAACATATTTTTAGTGGCTAGTGATCTATCAAATATTTTAGTTAAAACAATCTCAGAATGTGGGATTACTCTTCCAATGCTTTATAATTATTACTTAGATTCTAAAACTAATATTATAGTTTCTCAAAATTTTAAAGAAGAATGGTCCTTATTTTTAAAGCATTGTAAGAAAAATTCTGCAACTAAGGTTCCCTTAGACGAAAAATCTTATTATATCCTTAATATTTTTTCTTCATCATGGAATTATTATATGCCAGTAGAATTATGGAAAACTCTGCAATGGTAATAATATACATATATATATATGAATATATTTCAAATTAATAATATATAGGGTAGATAAAACGCCTAAGCATCATGCTAGAGAAAAGTATTTCATATGATATTTTTTTTTTAATATTGATAAAATAGAACTGTTGTATTGAAACCTTCTAGTTCCGATCCCTTGGATTCTTATTCACAACTATTATGTGTTTTTTGTTATATGAATGGATGTCCTTATCATGGTAAATATTTTATAATATCTTTTTAATATTAACTATAATAGATTCTTTCATCACTCGACTTCCAACTCTTTCTCTTGAAACAGAAGAACCTTATCTTAAAGAAACACCCTGCTCTAAAACATGTATTTTAAACGTAATGTTAAATTAAACATTCTATTAATCTACTTATTTTTTAAAGATTTCAGATTTTAAAGATATTCCTCAATCTGAATGGACATCAGATGAAATGTCTATTTTAGCAAGCTCTGTAAAAGTTTTAAATACAAGCTCTAAGCTTTCATGTTTAATTGCATTAGGTTTAAACAAAACATGTATAGAGGTTTGTTTATTGATAAATATTGTTTTCAAATATTGAATAAATAGGTATCTATGAAGATAAATGATAAATCATTTAAGGATTTTTTTAAGAATTTTTGGAATATAAATGATGTAGAAAATATTTCTAAGAGCAACAAAACAATTACTTATCAAAAAGTATCAACTAAAAGAAAAAGATGGACATTATATCCAGATGATTGTGACAAAAGCGGGATAAGCACAGAAAGAACTGAATTAAAACCTTGCTATCATTCAGGCCTTTGTGATGAAAATTGTCCATGTGTACAAAATAGAGTATTTTGTGAAAAATTCTGTCTTTGTCCCGATGATTGTCCAAGAAGATGGTTAGGTTGCCTATGCAAAGCAAATAAATGTAGCACATGGGCTTGCGAATGTGTGAAATGGAAACGGGAATGTGATCCTGATATCTGTATTGCATGCGATTCAGCAGAAGCACTTGATCCAATAAACAGATACAATTTTAATCGTTTAGCATTGATATGCCAAAATGTCCCTATACAGCAGGGATTAGGCTGTCGTTTGATATTGGGGGAAAGTAATGTTTCTGGATGGGGTTTGTTTATTGGAGAATCAGTAAAAGCTGATAAATTTCTTGGAGTAAAAAATATAATAAATATTGTATTAATATATTAAGAAATACTATAGGAGTATAAAGGAGAAATTATATCTCACAATGAATCTGAAAGACGCGGGTAGGTTTATCATAAAACTATTTCAATAATAATAATTTTAGAAAACTTTATGATAAAATTGGAATATCTTTTCTATTTAATTTGAATAAAAGTAACATATATACCTTAACTTTATAGAAATTCTTTTAATTTTTAAGATCATGTTGTAGATGCTACAAGGATGGGTAATAAATTTAGATACGCCAATCATTCCAGAAAAAATCCCAATTGTTTTGCTCGTGTTAGCTTAGTAAATGGTACTCATAGAATTGGGTTTTATGCTATTAGGGACATTAAAATTGGGGAAGAAGTAAGTAAATATATAAATTAAAAATAAGTAATTTATTCTCATTAGCTTCTATTCGATTATGGGTATAAGTTATCAAGACAATAATAATAACTAATTTAATTAGGTATAATCAACAAACAATCCATCTCGTGCCTTTAGATTTATGGGAAAAAGACAAACCAGAGTCATCTGATAAAGACAAAAAAAAAATAAAAGCTATAAAAGAAACTAAAACAAAAAATAACGAAAAAAAAAGTAAATGATCTGAACATTAATAAATATTTACAAGTTAATTTCTCTTGATTAATATTTCTAATCTTGAAACATAGAATTTCATAATCTAATTTGTAACAAATTTCATATTAATTTTATTTTTTTTGAATAAAATTAAAACTTCATCATAAATCAACCAATATTTCGTCGCTTTCTTTTTATATTCTTGGATATATATTTTCTTTTATTTAAATCTTGAGATAAATTTAAAAATTTGTCTTTTTTATGTTTTCGGGTATCTGTTATGCTTGAATTATCAGAAAAGCCATTAGCATTATCAAATGTATAATTAATGTTTTTATTAGTATTATCAAAATCCTTTTTTTTAATATTTATGAGACTATTTCCAAATTCTAAAGAATTTTTAGATGCGTTTACAATATTTCCATTCAATGTTGGTTCAGAATTCCGTATTTTACATTGATCATATGTTGTTTTGCAAGATCTTAAATTATTTAAAGCTTTAGTAAATCTAGTAGCTTTATTAGATGCTTTGGGTTTTGAAATAAATGTATTAGAGCCAGTAAACCAATAATCTGTCAAAACTGTTTGAACCTTATTCATGCGTTTAAGATTCATATTTCTAATAACAGGAATAATCATTTCATTAATTTTTTGTAAAGGCCATCCTATTGTAGATACTAAAAAATCTCTTAAATTATCTAAGTCAGGAATTCCCCATTCAAAGGTTTCAAAATTTGAATCAACCTTAGGCTCAAGATATGCCTTGTCAACTAGTGGATTCGGAAAATCTTTTGGCAAAAGTATATTGTAAATATTTTTTCTAAATCTATATCTAAACTTTGATGTTTTATCATCCTGAGTTTCCTTAGAATCTTTTACACGACAACACCATTCTTTAAAATCATTTAAGCTGTCTGAATTGGGAAAATCAGACAAAATTTCAAGAGCAGTAACAGGACCAATTTTTGGAATGCCTTCAGTATAATCACTTCCAAGAAGATGAGCAAGACGAATTAAATTTTTTCTTCCCAAATTAAATTCCCTTTCTAAATCAGATAAAAGATATAATTCAACATATTTTGAGTTATTAAACATATTTTTATAAACTTTAGTACCACCAAAAAGAAATACATCCGAATCGTCAGTTATAATTCCATCTACAAGTCCCAATTTAAGAAGTTCTGCACACTGGGCCTCTGCTTCTGTGGGTGCAATAATATAAGGTATTCCAAATAACTTTAAAAGATTTTGGCACTCCTCTATCATTATTTGTGTAACGCTATCTGCATTTTTCTTAGTTTTTCGATACTTATTCATAAGCAGATCTAAATCTTCTTCAATATTACTTTCAGTGGAGCTATTTGTTTTATTTAACTCAGAAAAAAAACGATTATGCTCATCATTTTCTTCAAGAAGCTGCTTTGTTAATGTATCATTTTCTAAACCTGAATTATAATCATCATACTCATCTATGTCAGAGATGTTATGAATAGAATCAGTATCGATTTTACTTTCTTCTTGATTTTTATTAGATGAATCAGAATAATTATCCATAATTAATTCCATTTCAGAGCAATTATCAATCACAGGAATAGATGAAGATATAAATTTATCAGGCTCTGAATTAATTTCTTTTATAGACGTGTTTTTAACAGGAATATTCTCAATAGATTCCAAATCAATTTTAACATCAAGTGCCTTTTTTGAGCTATCTTCTAAATTACAAATGTCAATAGAAAAAATATTAAAATTTTAAATGAAAATACCATGACTAACGTTTTCATGAACAAAATAACTATAAACTTTAGACTTATTTGAAAAGACTGAATTTTCATTAGGAGTTGAAATATCAGTAAATAATGCAGAAGATTCCTTTTTACTAGGAAATTCATGCACCTCTTGTGGTTCTTCAATATTTTCCTCTAGAAAAATAGTATTATCTAATAGATTCTGAGTTGGCACTTTAGATCCAAAATTTTGTTTTGATAAATCTAAAATATGCCCAATTTTCTCTAAATTAGATAAGGACTCAACGTTTTGATCTAATTTTGAAATTTCCTCTTTAGGTGCTAAATCCTTCGTTTTCTCAAGAGCTTCTGAATTTTCATTAGACTTTGATAAAATATCAAATTGAGGTAAAGATAATTTGTTATTAGATTTCAGTCTAAAATATTTATAAAAACAATATAAAAAATTACACATTAATACCTTCTAGACTTAACTCTATTTTCTTCTGAATTAGGAATAGATTTAATATATATATTACTCGACTTTAATTCATCTTTAAATTCATTATTTTTCAAATGCTCATTTTCTTTATCATTTCCTTTCATTTTTATAACATGTTCATTAGATTCTAAATCAATATCAAAATCATCAGGTTCTAAAAACAATGGTTCATTTTTCATATTATATGATTGACAATTAATTCTATAAATAATTAGCTTGAAATAAATATAAATAAATAAATATATATACAATGAGTTACTAGTTTTTTCTAAAATCTCTTCTTTAGAATCATGAATTAAAAAATCACCTATATTTTCTATGGGTGATGAATTTATACTGAAAAAAATTAATAATAAAAATACAAAAACAAATTTTTACTTATATAAAGGTATATCCTCAAACTCTTCATCTTCATGTGTGGAATCATGATTTTCATCATCAATAACAATAACATCTTTTTTATTTTTTGAATCAAAATTTAAAACCCAACCTGTTTTGTTATTTTCATCTTTTACCAATAAATATTCTCTATTCGGTTCTCCAACAACCCTTAAAGCCCCCATTTTGTTTATTTCATTGAAATTAAGTAATCTTTGAGTTAGATCATTTCTTTCTTTAACTCTAGTAATTTGAAACTTAGAAAATTCCATAGAATTAGAAAACATCGTCATAAGTTCATCTGCTCCTAGTCCCATACGAAGCCTCGATCTTAGACGAGCTATACTTAAGATATTATATTGATCAGCCGGTAATAAAGACTTAAAAAAATCAGAATCATAATCAATTTTCGAAAACTAAATATCAAATCATTAAAAATATTCATCATTACAAATAATCAACTACATCTAACAAATTAAGATCATCATTCGTAAAGTTTTGTATAGATTCTTCTATATCCCTCTTATTTGTCATTCTAAAATCATCTGACTGTTGAATTTCTCTATAAAAATTAAAAAATTAATATAAAAAAACTACTTACTCAAAAGATATATCAAGATTAGGAAGATTATAAATATCTTTATTCTCATTTTTACGTATAATTTCAATATCTTTAGATAATCCCTCTATATCTTCAAAATATGGCGATTTTTTCATTTTACTACTAATAAATAAATAACCTCATTAAATAATAAAATAAAGCAACCTCTGCCTTTTCTTATATTGATCTTCTTGTATAGTTTTCTTCATTTGTAATAAAAATATCTTTTCTGCCAGTTTTTCCGAATTTTCATCATATTTATGCCTTTTTTCTGCTCTTTTTTTCTTTTAACAAATAAGTATTTAAAAAAACTCTTTATAAAATCTACAATAACATTCTCCTTAAGAACTGATACACTCCCATCAAAAACAAAGACCGGCTTAATCCCATAAAATAATAGCTTACATATTCTTCGAAAAAAACCAATAATATGTCCATTCTTAATAAAATTCCCTTCTTTATCTCTAAATCCTTTAAGAAACTTAATCAATTAACCTCATTCTCCCTATAAAATTCCCTTTACTTGGTACATCCATATAGATGCATCTACTGCTAAAACTTTACCAGAAAGACTAAAATTTTATTAGAAAAATACTAATTTCTTAGCAAATCTTAAGAAATTTACCTCTCTAACTTAACAAATCTTGACACTTCTTCAAGAATACTCCAAAGTTTAGTAACTCCCATAAATTTTTAGACATCGAAGTCTAGTTTTTCTTAATAAAAGTTAAGAAATTTTTAAAAAAGTTAAAAAAGCTTATCGATTTGTCTATTTTTTTATTAAAAAATGTTAAAAAGTCTTAAGAAAAGTTAAGAAATGGCAAAAATAAAGTTAAAAGGTTAACATTTTTTTTAAATAAGATTAAATTTCTTACTAATTTTTAGGTGAATCAGGAGCAGCTAAAAATTTTATTACTCGTAATCAAGCACTTAAGAAATTACAAGTAACTCTTGCAGATTTCAGAAGATTATGTGTAAATATATATGTTAAAAGATATTAATATTTATATTTATTTATTAGATTTTTAAAGGAATATATCCTAGAGAACCAAGAAGTAAAAAAAAAGCTAATAAAGGATCTACAGCACCAGTAACATTTTATTATTCTAAAGATATTCAAGTAACAGGATAATTATTAAAAGTTTTATTTAATATTAATATAATAAGTATCTTCTTCATGAACCTATAATTGATAAGATACGCCAATATAAAATTTATATAAAAAAATTTAACCGTGCATTAATCCATAAGGAATATGAGATTGCGAAATCATTAGAGGAAAATAAGCCATTTTATACATTAGATCATATTATTAAAGAGAGGTTAAATTATTATTATTATTATATATTTTATTAATTTATATAGATATCCTACATTTCTTGATGCTATTCGAGATCTTGATGATGCTCTTAGTATGCTTTCATTATTTTCATCAGTCCAAGTTACAGAGAAAATTGATTCTAATGTTATATTGAATTGTGAAAGATTATGTTTAGAATTTCAAAATTATGTTATAGTGTCGAAGGCATTAAGGAAAGCCTTTCTTTCTATTAAGGGTATTTATTATCAGGTTGAGATCAAAGGTCAGGAGGTTACATGGTTAGTTCCATATAAATTTTCTCAGAGAGTATATATTAATAAAATTTGAATATTTATTTATTAAGATATTTTATTAGATACCTGTTGATATAGATCTTCGAATTATGCTGACATTTTTGGAATTTTACCAGACTTTTGTTGGTTTTGTTAACTATAAATTATATACTGATTCTGGTTTAACTTATCCACCACCTGTTAATGTTTCACTTTTTGAAGAAGCAGGAGATATTTTGGCTTATAATTTAGAAAAATTAAGGACGATCCAAACAGAAAATCAATTGGAGGAAGATCGAAAGCCTAAAGATATAAAGAAACAAATTGATACATTAGATAAAAAATTGGATAAAATATCAGTAAATACAGATCTTTTAACAAATGATGAATCAAAAATTTCTGAAAATATAGATGATGAAGCTACTCTCGATGTCTTTTCTTTACAAAATAATTCGGAAGATTTTGATAAATTAATTCAACCTGTTACTGCTAGTTCAGCAGAAGTCAATATATTTGAAAATTTTATATTCTATTTATCTCGAGAAGTTCCTCGTTATTCATTAGAATTTGTTATAAAATCATTTGGAGGAAAGGTTGGATGGGATCCTGTCCTTGGAAGTGGCTCTTCTTTTAAAGAAGATGATATGACAATTACACATCAAATTTATGATAGACCAATTTTAGATAAAAAAATTTTGAACAGGGTTTATATTCAACCTCAATGGGTCTATGATTGTATCAATAAAAAAAAAATATTAAGTACAAGTGAATATGCACCAGGTTCTTTATTACCACCTCATTTAAGTCCATTTGTAAAAATAGAACATGGAGGGTATAATCCAGAAGCGGAAGAGGACTATGATGAGGAAGAACAAGATGAATCAGATGGCATTAACATGGATGGTTATGAAAAAAAGGATATACAGGACGGTTCTTTACCATTTTCATATTATATAAAACAAAACAAAAAATCAAATAAAACCCAAGAAACTGAATCAGAAGAAATAAAGGATCTTTCAAAAGTTATGTTAACTAATAAACAAAGAAAACTTTATAAAAAAATGATTCATAGCAATTTAAAGAAAAAAGAAGAAATAGACAAACTAAAAAAAAGACGTAAAGAATTAATAAAAAAAAAAAAAAAGAACATATCAGAATCATAAATGTAACTAATATAATATACAATAATATGGATCCATCATTTTCAATATATATAAATATAAATAAATATATATATATATTGAAAAATTAAATTTTAAAAAGTGTAAATGTTAATTTCTTTAATTTTTATAAAATATTTATGATTGTCTTTGTTTGTGTTTTTTATTCACTTTGCATATTATATAGAGCCGTCCTTTTCTTCTGACACTGTAACAATGTTCACAACGTTTTTTAACAGATGTTCGATTTTTCATTCCAGAAACTTGAATTATTGGTAAATAATAACGGTTTTTAATAAAATTATGTATTTTATAGAATTTAAGTATTGAAAATAACCCAGATCCTGTATTTTCCTTCATATTTATCCATCTTAAGTATGTTAGATTCATATTTTTATAATATCGAAATTAAAGATGATAGAAAATTTAATTATAAAACTATTTATAATTAGAAATTAATTAAAAATTATTATAAATACATTATCAAAAGTTAATAAAATATTAATACTGAATAGCTTTTTAGAACTTTGTAATTATTAATTTTTATATTATTTATAAAATTCGACATTTTGAACCTTTCTATATTTCAAAAATTCAGGTGGAACCAATTTTGGCCAATTTACATAATAGAAACCATTAGATATTATAAAATAAACTGACCATATGAATACAAAGAGCCAGAAGACCATGAAAATATGAGAAGAAATAATAACATCTATAATAAGTAAATTATAAAGTTTTAAATTAAGATTTTGTCACTTTCTAAACCAGGTAAAATTATTTTAGCTAAAATCATAAGAATAGAAAAAAATAAAACATATGGGATCTATAATTTTTATAAGCTTAAAAAAATAAAAAGTAGATATTACATATTGGATAAATAAGGATCTGTGATAGAGTAAAGGAATCTTTCTGGTTTGATATGGTAAATAATTTCCAAGAAATAAATCAAAAGCGTCTTGACGAGACCCATCAGTAAAATTATTTTGAAAATATCGCATAATAGAATTGATTAAATCATGCAATTCTCCTCTTTTAGTACGTTTCCCAGTCCTTAATTGTTAAAAATAAAAAACCATTTTAGACAATTTACCTTGTAAAATCTGTCTTTAAAGCCCCTGTGCCAGAATAAGAAATACTTATAAAATCTGCATTATCAGCCCAGACTAATTGATGTAAGAAAAATGAAGAAAATAATTATATTTACTATTTCTAAATAAGTTATCAAGATCTGGATAATCTTCAATATTTTCATAATCATTTAAGATTCCAATATCATTTAATTGTTTAGTTAATACCCATCTTGCCAATGCCGATTGTATAACATTTGTACGGTCCAAACAATCTATACAATTTGTGCGTACTATTGATGTTTGAAAATAAACTGGATATACTTGATCTGAACAATCAACATAACAATAACTATAACATTAAATATTAATAAAATCCAAGAAATAAATTACTTTTGTTTAAGATATGGTGTAAGTTGGTTTATTAAAATTCGGGTTTTATGCCATTTCATTTTTCTACATTCTTGATGAAAATCAAAATAGAAATATTTTATCTTAGAATCATTTAAAATCTTAATAATTTCTTCATAAGAAGTTTTAATATTGCATTCACGTCCATGTTGATTAACCAAATTTACAACAAGTTGATCCCCATAGATTCTAATCTGCTTATCAAAATGCAATCGTGCAGCGTTAACCTATTTCTAATTAAAAAAGCATGACATAAAAAATATAATACAGAATCATTGATATTAAGAACACGTAATTTCGGTTTATACTTTAAATTATTTATTTCTGCCCAGAATATTGGAACACTTCCTCGTATTTGAACAAATGATAACTTCAATCGCTTAGTAACACCTGAAAGTTTATTTGTATTTTCAAATAAAACAATCTGTTCAGTTTCATTAAAATTCGAAACATCTCCATTTTCATCAATTCCTCTGGAAAAATATCTTGTTCCTAATAAACAAATTACCTTTATTCTTAGAAACAATATATATAGTACCTGCCCTAAATCTAGAACGTCTTGATATTAACAGAATAGTTAAAGAATTATTTTTAATCATTATAGGCGCAATTTTCACAACTAATTTCCTTGATTAGAATAAGAAATTGTAAAATTTAGAACTTACATCCATAAATAACTGGAAGTATATAATTATCTAACTATATATATATATATTTCATAAGTAATAATTTTATAATAATAAAACATACATCAGAATGAGATGATCCCCTCAAATCAATCAATTCTGATTGAATAAACCTATTCCAGAAGAATCGTTCATCCGCCTAATCTTAACATTTTTTCATATTATTATATTATATCTTACTATTTTCCATAAAGGAGACTTAGTTTCTGATACTATTTGTCTCTGTATTGCATTTGTTACATCAAATGTATACGAAAAATAAAATGCTCCTGTATTTAAATGTTTTTTTATTAAATTAAGATATCCCACTTCTTCATGGTCCTATATACCCTGTTATTTCTAAAACATGAAAATTAATAATAACTTTATATTGGCCTTTAAAAGACATAAGACGAACAGATTTAATCCTAAATATATCATCTTGACCAATTCTTCCAACTGCCTCCCTTTCTGTTATAATAATTAAGTATTTGTCTATTTTAACTTAATAAATATCCTTTTTTTAAACATAAAAAACCATATTTTAACCGTATTATCCCAAGAACTCCATAAATACGTAGAATTTCTTGATTCATTGAGATAGAATATGTATCTCTTTCTATTTAACCCATTAACAAATGTTAAGAATTTGTATAAAGACAACGATATAAATTTAACTTTCCATTTAACCGGTCAATTACAAGTAAATTTCCTGATTTATTCTCAGGAACAAGAACAAATTCATCTTTAGATGTGTATAAATATAAAGTTTGATAAAGCATGGTTTTTGGTGAACCTCAGTTGAGATCGGGTCAGTCAATATTAAATATGGAAAAAGAAGAGAATATATAAGAAATAATAGATAAACTGAGTTGCTTTTATTAATGATATATAATATTCAAACGTAAACCGAAATGCAACAAATAATGCATTATAAAAATAGATACTAAATGGCCAGTTGATACATATATATATATAGGTGAATGTTGTTAAATATGAAAAAAAATGCAAATATAAGATGTTATCAATAAATATCAAGCGAAAGATATCCAGATAGACTCAACCGTCCGGCGCAAAAATGATATTGAAGCATGAAGCTTTAAAAATATATCTAAAAAAATCAAGTCATAGGACTAACGTCTGTATAATGATTGCATTGATTGTCATCAACAGGCGGTGTAGGAAGACCCGTCTCAATCTCCTGTATATTTCCAAATTGATCAGCAATTGTTTCCGAAGTATGATTAACACAAAGGTAGAATTGAGAATGTCGAGAATGTTTATGTGGAGAAGGTGTATGAGGAGAATTAACTTGCAAAGAATTTTGCGTTGATGAAACTGAGGAAAGATAATCATTGATTATTTTTTTGATACCAATATGTGAATATTTTTTAAGAATAACATTCGAAATATTATCAAGATGTGAATGAAATGTATTAATGCATGCAAACGTATCCGAAGATGAAACCATATAATATTTCTTCGGTTGTAAAATAGAATGTGCAAGAAATAGTGATGCTTCCGCTACCGTACTCGGTAGACATATCAAATCACGATGATATAAAGCAAGTTCTGTAAAAAATTGCGCTAGTATTACCACATTTTCCGGTAAATCCGCATAGACCGTCATCATTTGAAGAAATCCATATGCCGTAGGATGCCCAATCATCCAATCTAACGTTTTTATAATATGACTTTCCATTTGAACAAACATTTCTTCACGATAACTATCACAACACATTGTAGATAACTCTTTTAACGTAGGAACACGATCTTTCGGCTCCTCAAATTTAGCCGCTACCCATAACGCCGCACATCCAAGTAATTGATAATGCTTCTTAAACACTACCCTTTTAGAAGTATATCGATCAATCAAATTCACTGTTAAATATAATGTAACCGGTTGTAAATGAAACCCAGAATGCACTTCAAGAATAAAATCAATTAAATATGGTCGCATATACCATTCAAGCTCCGGTTGTAAATCCATCATCTTAGGTGATGCTAATGTTGTTTTCTATCATTCCCTTTAATCTTTCTATCCTTTTCTTCACTATTAATACTTACTTCCATACTTTTCATATATGCTATCGTCTCCTCCCTATAATCATCCTGTATCATGGACGGCTGCGTGTTTTTTATACACGATTCTTTACGTTTCTTAAACTCCCCACTTCCCTCACCTGAAACAGGTGATAAGGGTAATGATGGCCTGCGTTGTTTCCCAATATTTGCTCGCAGACATGAATCGAGAGTTATGCTTTTGAAAGGCATCCCGTGTTGTGTTAAACAAAATACTTATATTTAATATCAAATTCAAGGTTAACACTCTATCTTCTGTCTAAGCAGCTTATCCGGGGTGTGTATCCAGGCTGTATGCGTTATGTATGCGTTGTATATGCGTGTTGTATGCGTGCTGGAATTATACTATACGCGTCCTGATGATTTCGTGTCCCTATAAACCGCCCCGTGACATTTGTAAGGAGACATATTTGTTATCCGCTGAGGTGAGGAGTCGACCTGGCACGATGGTTTAGAATCTCGCATTGATACTTAGAAATGTTTAAGATGATCCCGCACATTAGGCTTTGAGGAATGACATATTGGAAGCGCACGGTGAATTATGTTTAAGTAGAGATTTCCTGAGGTGGAGAAATAAGCGTAATACGCTAAACGAATTGTCTAAATATGTATGCAATAGTTTAATAAATTAATATAACTTGTGAAGAAGAAGCGTATAAGTTTAAATTTGTTAACTTAAGCTTAAGATTTGTTTAATATGAAATTAACCCTTGCTTGACCCATGCTTATACTAGAATTTAAGAAAGGTTTAACCGAAGGCTAAACCAGAATAAAATATAGAATATCCGTAATAAGTTAGTATTTCTATATAGAAAACTACCATAGCAACCCATATCCTTGCTAGAGTAGTTTAATAGAATAACTAAGTCAATAGTAGAATTAGCAGTCTGCAAGAGCGCTAAGAGCAGATTAATAGACATGCAAGGCGCAAGACGCGTGTAATATGTATGTAAATAAGTAAATAAAAGAGTAAATATACAAATAAGTTGATATATAAGGAGTATATTGATATATAAGGAGTATGTTAATATATAAATATAAAATCTCATCTCATATATTTTATAATGTTTGTTTTAATATAAGAAATTTAAATGAAAAGATTAAGAATTGAATTGTATATTATGATAAAAAAAAGCAAAAACTTTATAATCCAAAAAAAGTATTTATTATAAATTGTATGAGAATTAAATTTTGCATACTCCTCCAATACATTTTACAATAACAACGACAATAGCTAAAAAGTTATAAATATTGTATATTAAAGAATAAATAAAACTTACTAATTGCAATTAATATTAAAATAAATAATCTTTCGATTTATTAATATATAATTATAAATAAAAAAAAAAGAGAATATACCCAAAACAATAGCACCGTTTACGTCGTGCTGAACGTATATTTTCAATAGCTTTATCTTGATGTTGAATACCATGTTCAATATTTGTATAGACCGTTTCTGCTTGTTGTGAAATAAGTTGAAGAGGTTCATCTTGTTTCTCTATCAAAATATTCATTTCATTGAACAATTCTGCTAATTCTATAATTGTTTGTTCTATTTTTTTAATATCTTGATGTCGTTCTTGTACTTCTTGTAAAGCAATACGTGCTTCTCCATGTCGATTACTTCGTAATAACTATCGTACTTAATTTTAATGTATTAATATCTCATTTCTTACTGCTTGACTAAAGATTTGCATTCCCTGATCATCATTTAATGCTGCATGAATCTCTTCTTGTGTCATATTCGGATTAACTGTCTCTATTTGACGATATAATCTCTGTCGATATCGTTGGTTAAATGAATTCTCAACTCTTGAATAATTTTGAATCGATTCTAAGAACTTTTTTTTAATATTACTCGTCTGTGTTAATCGAACTTGTAAATCCGCTGTTTGTGCTGATTGTTGGTTCTTTTTTTCTAAAATTTTGATATCATCCCGAACCAAATTCTGCATAAATCGTGTCTGTCCTTTCAGATTTTCTAATTGTTGATGAAAATATGATATTTGTTCATCCGTAATCTCATTTAATAATCTTTGATGTAACTGTTCAATCTGTTGCACATTCTCTTTAATTGTTGATATTATAGTACGAAGATCTTCGATCTGGTTCCTATAAGCCATTCTTCTCTTCCACTGACTCTTATACTTTTTTAAAAAAGTCCGTTAGAGTTGTTTTATCTGAAAGATCCTCAAGTTCGTATTCATTCGATTCTTCTTTCTCTCTAATATAGACTTATTAACTTCTTCTTATCTCATCTCCTTAACTTTCTAACCTTATTTCCGCTTCTTTTTCGCTTTCCTAACCTTATATTAATCTTCTATTTTTCTTAACTTTCTTTTAACCTCTTGTTTATCACTTTGCCTCTTCATTTTTGACTAATTTAAAGATAAAACTTAACAAATAGTCCTTTCTAATTAACTTTTTATCTATTTCTTGACTAAAAATAGACTTTTTCTTAACCTGTTTTTATATTTTTATTAAGAAATCAATTAAAATATTAAAAATATTTTAATATTTTTAAGTAAACCTTAAGAAAATATTAAAAAAAACATTAAAACTTAAGAAAATAAAGTAAGAAAAGTAGATTTTTCTTAAGAAAAATTAAGAATCAAAGTTAGGTTTTAATCTTTTTTTAAGTTATCGAGAGGCTCAACGTTAAAAAAATAAGCAATCAAGGAAAAAATATTAAAAGGTAAGATTAAGTCTATTAGAAGGGATTAACTGATTAGAAATAGGTTTATAAAGATGAAAGATGATAATAAGAATGATATTCTTGAAAGAACGGAGAAAAAAGACCCAGTAGAAGTGGAGAAAGAAGAAATTGAAGAATCAGCTAAAGGTATCTCTATGATTGAACTAAATAAAGGAGAAGAAGAAGAAAAAGAAGTAAAAAATAATACGGATGAAGAGCCAGAAAGCGATAATATAAGTTCATTGAGAAATGGAGTTTTATCAGAAGCAAGAGATTCATCAATTGTAACGGTATTCCATGATTCGAAAAATTTTACAGTTAAACACCCACTTATGCATAAATGGACACTGTGGTTTACTAAGCCTTTGACGCCAGGACAAAGGGCAAATACGACAGATGCGTGGGCAGATAGCTTAAAAGAAGTTATTACGTTTGATAGTGTCGAGGAATTTTGGGGGTTAGATATCAGGATGGATCCTCTATATTGCTAAGTATGGACTAGGATTTATAATAATATTGCTAAAGCGTCACAATTATTGCCAAAAAGTGATTATCATTTGTTTAAAACAGGAGTTAGACCAGAATGGGAGGATAAACAGAATCAAAGAGGTGGAAGATGGTCATATAATAATAGAGACCGAAGATCAGTTAATATTGATGAGTTATGGTTGCATATTGTAGGTAAAAATAATTGGTTGTTATATATGCTTGATAAGATTAGATGTTAGCAGCGATTGGAGAAACCCTAGAAAATGAAGGGGATAATGAAGTAATGGGAGTAGTAGTGAATATTCGAAAAGGATTTGTGAGATTAGGACTTTGGACTCGATCAACAAATAATGAGGAAGTTTTAAGGGCTATTGGGTATGTATAAAATATATAAAAAGAAAAAAGTATATAATGGAATGTAGAAAACGGTTTAGAGAAGCAATGAAGATACCAGATAAGGAAACGGTTGAATTTTATTCGCATTCGGATTCAGCACATTCTGGGAGCACTAGGGCAAAATCCAAAATGTATGCATGATACTGCTAATTACAATCATATGGATCATGTATTAGCATATGTATATATATATATATATAATACCATAAGGGATTATTTGTTGTTTTTAACATGGATTTATGTTTTAGCATTTCTATGATTTGGTTTTTAACAAATAGATATATATTTGTCATTAAACCTTTTGTAACACTATCATATTGATTGTAAAAAAAACATTTATTATATAAAAAACTGTAAATACATACAATAATGGGTTATTATAAGGAAAAATTGTCTTTATACTAATGCAGTTGGATCTTGATATTTTTTCCAATATTTTGCAACTAAGAATGCTATTTCTAAACTTTGTTTATAGTTCAATCTTAAAAAAAAGAGATTAAATTTAAATATCATTATCTTTGTAATTACCTTGGGTCACAAAGTGTTTTATATGTCTTGAGAAGATCTTTATCTTCAAGTTGCATACTACCTCCTAAACATTCTGTTACTTCTTCTCCAGTTAATTCAAAATGAACACCATCTAAATGAAAACCATAAGTTTTACAGATATTGAAACATAGTTTAAGTTCAAGTAAAATATGAGAAAAATTTCTTGTTTTATAATTAGGATATTCAGTAGAAAATAATGTATTTCCTAGTTAATATTAAAATTCATAATTAACTAAAAAAAACCATACCATGCATTGGATCACATACAAATATAACTTTATGATCAGAAGATTGAACTGCTTCAATATGTTTTGGAAAATATGTTTTGATCTAAAGCTATTATTAATGTGAAAATTGATTTTTAATATACCTTATCATAACCATATCTGAATATTAAAGTAACTTTTCCCAATTCTTTATTAGGATCTACAATATCTAATAGCCTAAGTAATTCATCAGGTTCCAATGTTGGACCAATCTTAATGCCTATATTTAATTCAATTTATTTTTTTAAAACTTTCCTAATAACCTATTGGATTTTCAATGCCTCTAAAATATTCAACATGTGCACCATTAATATCTCTTGTTCTATCGCCTATCCATAAAAAATGTGCACCTAAATTCCACCATTTTGTTTCATTTGTCTCTGGATCTTTTATTTTTCGTGTCATACATTCTTCATACTCTAACAATAAGCCCTAAAGCTTATATCAATTATTAAAATAGCTATAAATATATCATACCTCATGACTTGTAAAAATATATGGTTTTTTTAATAAAAAATAACTATCCAATTCATCTATTTTTCCAAAATTTGACAAATTAAAGGATTTGGAGTCTGTAAAGCACTCATCTCCTAAATTATTCTCTCTGAGAAAAGAATAATCCGACTCTAACAATGTATATAACCCATCTTCTCCAGAAGACGAGAGTAAACGTATATAATTAAGTGTTGCCGATGAATGAAAATATGCCTTTAACATTCTTTCTGGATCCGGCTTTCGCTCATCCGAAGAATATCCATTGATACATTCTCCTCTAAAACATAACACTTCTTGTCCATTCATAATTTCTGTAGACTTTGATCTTGGTCTTGGAAATCATAAGATTTTATCATAAAAAATGTATCAAATACTTTGAAAATTGTCCTGCAATACGTGCTATATTTACAACTGGAATATTCATATCTTTTCACATAAGAAATGCCCATTCACCCCTCAAAAAATACTTAAAGCTAATATAATACTCATTTGAAGAATAACTTTCAATTTATTGTCAATTAATCCCTTCAAAAATTATATATTACTAATAAAATATCCCGTATTACTGATGTACATGCAGAAAATGACTCTGCACAGTCTCCTCCTTGGAGTAAAAAAGATTTATGAAGTGCAACATCTTTAAGTCGTTTTTTTAATTGTAAAATCTTAATATAAATAATAAGAACCTTCTTATAATAAAAATACCTCTTCAAAATGAACTAATGGAGGCAATGATCTCAGTTTATTCACTGACTTCAATTACTTAGTATGTCTTTTTATGCTTTAATATTCTACCTTTTTAAGTGCTTCTTGATTCTCATATATTACACCTTGTTTTATACGTTTATATCTCCAGGACGAAGGTTTCCAGTCTATTTTCTCTATATTTTTTGGAGATTTTTGCATTTAATATTTTTTGAGGTGCTGATGAAGGTTTTTATCTAGTCAGAGCCTCGATAAGAGAATATTATAATGCCATATGAGCCAATCAACTAGAATAATGGAATAGCATAGTGTTTTAGAAGAAGTTATAGAGACTACATTGAATATATAAGATGAAAAATAAAATAGTTTATAATTGACATGTATTTATTATGCAAGTAAAAAGTATATACATGTATAAATTAATAAAAACCAAATTGTTATAAAAACAATAAATTGCCCCAAAAGCTAGTGTATGCAGTTGTAAAGAATATAATCAACAACTTTTGGAATTTAAAGCTAACCTTAATTTTCCATGAATACAATAAAGAACGATAAAAAATAGTATAGTATAATCAGGAGATATACGAACTAAAACGACTGAGGGTATTGATGTGCAGGAGGGGACAAGTGAATATGTGAGCTATAAGAATTATTAATGAGAAGTGTATGAGAAGAAAAAGAAATAAAAATACCCATTGCGGCGACTTTTTTTCATTTTTTGTTTTAATTGATGAGAATCTAATGGTTTTAACAATTCGAATGAACACAAAAGTTCTTCAGAAACAGACATTACTGCGCCAAAATTATCCTATAAAACGATAAGAATAAGAATAAGAATAATTATAATCAATCTAAACATACAAATTCCCCGCAATAATTTGGTGCTGAAAATATAGTAACCAATGTACGTTCATTAAAAAATTCATATCCATCTTCTACAACCATATGTGCCCGACATATTAGATCGAAATCGTGTTTTTGAAGAAATTGTTGAATAACGTTTTTTCCAAAACAATAACTTACACCTCGCTCATTATCTTCCCACCCATTTGTTGTTTCAGTAGGATCAGACCACAAAAGATCATTAAGCAAGCCATAATCAGGAACATCAGTAGGTCGTTCAAGTTGTCGAATTTCATCCATATATGAAAGTGAGGGAGATAATCCTCCATGTACACAAAATATTTTTGAAGCAACAATTGATGCTATTGGTAAAGTGTTAAAGACATCAATAAATGTCTTCCAAATCTTAATGTTACATCTTCGTTTACATTCATCATAGAACCCATAAACTAAATATCATCATTAGTATTTATAAAAATATACCAAAAAAATATCGCAAATACCTCTTGTAACATTAGCACATTCATGATTTCCTCTTAAAAGAAAAAAATTATCCGGATATTTAATTTTATAACATAATAATAATAATATTGTTTCAAGGCTTTGTTTCCCTCGGTCTACGTAATCTCCAAGAAATAAATAATTAGCAGATGGAGGAAATCCTGACATTTCAAATAAACGAATTAAATCCGCATATTGACCATGAACATCTCCAACAATTTTAACAGGAGGCGTAAGTTCTAATAAAGAGGGCTGAGATAAAAACACTTCACGTGCTGCTTGACATATAGCAGATACCTCTGCATTCTTTAAACATATCGCTTTCGTAACCTTTCCCGAATATCCCACGTCTAAAAGTCTTTGTATCATATCATCTATATCCAAATTCTTAAATGATAAATATGATGGAAAAAACATAAATGTCGATGATATCTCTGTATTAAGACCTAATGAATTAACCGGCGTCATCGTATCCGATATAGAATCTCGTTCACGTCTTATAAGAATCGTATCCTTTGGTGGATGTCCTGTTAATAACGTTGATGATATCGGTGTCGTCGGTGTTTCTAAAAATTGCTGATTTACTTGATTTTCTTTATCCCGACTATTATTCCTCTTCGTTTTACCATTCTCATTCTTTGAAAATGGTATAGATCCCCTATTATGCGTATAATTTTTATATGCTATACCTTCCATCATCGATGTTCCATTCGTCGTTCCTTGTTCATTTCCTTTTTCAAATATCCCTTCCTCTATCATTATCTCCCTCATTTCTTCCCTTTCAACCCCTTTTTCTCTCCTTTCTTCCTTTTCTTCCCCATTTTTCGTCTTATCTTTTTTTCCCCCTTCGTACCCTCTTAATGATATATTCTTTTGTTCTTTCACTTCCATTCCTCCCCTACATAATCCAACCACTCCTTTCCCTTCAAATCTACCAGAAATCCCTATTCCTTCAATCTTTCCTTCTTCTTTCCGACTCTGTATTTGTCCCATCCTATTTCACCCTATTTTTGCCCTTTTTCTTCCTTTTTTTTTCTATTTTTACCCTCTTATCCCCCTATCCCACTGTTCTCTTAGTTTAACGCGCTTCTGATACACCTTCTTCTCCTTCAAATCCTCTTTCATAGACGCTCTTCCTCTTTATACAATCTCCCCTATTTCTCCGTCATTTCTTTATCATTTTTTCTCCTTCAAATTCCTTTCTACCTCGTTTTCCTCTGCTCTTTCTTATTATCCTCTTATCTTCCCTTATTTTCCTCTCGATTTACCTCTTTTCCGATTTTTCTTTTTTTTTGTAGTTATTGTCGTGCTCTAACCCCCTTCTTTATACGCGCTTTTTTTCTCGTCGCCCTTCACATCGTATTCTTCACTTATTCTTTTCAACCCCCGGATTCGGACTTTTTTAATTTTTTCTTTATATACACGCCTTGGCGTCCATGAAAATATAGAGGTTAGCTTAAGTTCTCTTCTGTTTATCTTAACATGTCTACAGCATTATATTGCTATTATTCTCAATATTATCAAGAAATAGCTTATTTACGTAAAGAAAAAGGGACCATAGAAAGTTTCTGGATATTAAGATGGGAGCTATAGCAGTTCGTATTTTCAGAACGGTATTACCGTTAATTATTATATCGCTTACACTTGTTTCTGTTTCTCTTACAATATTTGCTGGTGTCAGAAGGGATCCTTATTTAGATAAAAATTATGTCTTTAAAGTATAAAGAAACTTTATTAAAAAGAAAAGGAATGTTAAAGTAGAATTGTAGATTGACGCGACTCAATTTGCGGGGCAAAAGGATCTTTACTCTGGTTCTGGGTCTACACCAGCAAATAAGATTGGGTAAGTTAGAATGCCTGCGTGTAGAAGAGAGGGTATAGTTAGGGAGGAGTAGGGGGTTAGGGTGTAGATGGGGGGGGGGGGAGGGGGTTGGAGTTGGAGTTAGTTGATAAGAGTAGGTGATAAGAGTAGGTGTTGAAGAGAAGTTGCAAGAAGGAGTTGCAAAAAGGAGTTGTAATAGGTAAGTTATAACAGGTAAGTTATAAGGAGGGAGTTATAAGGGGAGAGTAGACAGGGTTATATAGTTAGAAAGGGGTAGGATGGAGGGTCAGTGCGTTAGGGTTAGGGTTAGGGTTGTAATGGAAAGGACGTTAAAGGGGAAGTGTTAAGAAGAAGAGAGAATATGTCAGGGTTAGGGTTAGTCAGGGTCGAGGGTTCGCTTTAGGGTTAGGTTTTAGTTGGGGGTAGGTTATATTTTGGGTTAGGGTTGTACTTAGGGTTAGGGTTTGATGGAAATTTATTATAATATATGGAAATATTACACACGCAGGCTTTTTATTTTAATTATGTCTGATATTAATTGTTTTAGATTGGCTAATCATTATTATGTTTTTCTTTGGAACCATTGTGAATCCAACAAAGATATGAAATTCATGTATTGTTCTAAACCAAGATTTGATTATTATTTCAATTCGGTCAAATTGTTGAAAGCTAGACTTAGAAGAGATGCTAGAGTTAGAATTCCATCTGGTTCGGATTCTTATCACAAAAGACTTCGAGTTACTAGTTATTGGTAAGTTTTTCATATTTAAAAATTAAATAGAAATTAAATATGATTGATGGATGGATGGATTGATATGGTTGATATGGTTGATTAATATGCTAATGTTTTTATTAGTTCCCTTGCACTTCTTCTTCTTGGGATGATTACTTCGCTAGCGACATTTGTTTTTGTGATTATAATTACTTTAGCAGGATCAAGTGCAGTATTTACATCTACTCTTTCTGGTGTTTCGACACTTTTTCTTATTCTAGGATCAAGTCTTTTAACCGCTCAATATCTGGAATTAAGTAATTTAATTCGAGATAAAGCGGGTTATCTTAAAGTCAAAGGAGAAGAAGGTATAGGCGGACTTTTCTTTTTATGGTTCTCGTCTGCCCTTAGTGTTCTTTCTTTTATTAGTTTGTTGCTAGCAACACGTTTCATTCGTAAGAAGAAAGAGGCAGCAAAACTTTATCATTAAATATTTCTTTTCATTAAGATATGATATATCATTATTTGTTGTTAGTTATTTTTTATTTTATTTTTATCTTTTTATATACCTTTTATTATTCGCTTTGTAAACTAAATTAAAAGACAAAAAAAAAATTGTTTTATTATTATTATTATTTTTATTTCTATAAATATTTTTTAATAATTCTTTATTTTATGATGTATCCTGTTTATTAATTAGTACAATTCTAATTATTTTTAAGAATTTTAAAATTTCTAAAATCAGTATTTATTAAATTAATCATATAAATATCAGAAACAGCTTCTAGTTGATATTTTTTAATAAAATTCATCATATAGAAATTTTTAAAGAGGAATATTTTTAATATACCTGATTAAATTTAATAAAATATTAAAAAATATATCTATAATCATATATTTTGAACAAGTATAATTTCAATTGAATCAAAAATTCATATAATAAGTTATATAGTAATTAATTTTATGATAAAAAGATCATGAAATATTGCATACTTGTCAATATTCAATTACTTAAAAATTGAGTCTAAATTTTTGAAAAAATGTATTAAATTATGTAACTAAAACCCCAAATGATATTTTATATAGTAAATTTCAATCAAGACACAGGAACATTAAGAACTGTTAAAATACCCCCAATTAGATGCAAACTACCAGTAACAAATACATTAATATCGGAGAAAGAGGCATGATAACGAACTATATCTACAGAATCCTCTATACTTTTTGCAATATTAATCGATGCATTATTATCTAATTTGATCCAATGATTTTTTAAATTATACTGTAATTTGAGACTTTTAGATTCTTCGATTGAATAATTAAGATTTATTAAATCTAAATCTTTATAAATGTGTATAAAGTGTATAATAAAGATTACCTTGACTATATGTTCCATCTTTCCAAGTGAGATTCGTTGAAAATATTACTATATCAAAAGGATTCCTAGACATTTTCTTATGCACCATTTGATTATATAAACAGTCCAATAACATTATAGCATCACGAGTTTGTTGATTAAATATCAAAATAGACTTTTTAGAAGAATGATTCGACAAAAATACAGAATTTGCATACCAAATAGAAGCTTCTTTTATACTTTCAAGTGTATGAGCACCATCTAAATACCATGATATATTGTTTTCTTTGTACAATTGACATCTTCCAGGCCATGATGCTTTTTCAAGGCCTGCTTTTACACTATCAGATATTTTAGGTGAAACATTTTCATCCAAAATATTTAAACAAAATAAATGATGAGAAACAAGTGAAAATGCAAGTGATGCATTGATATATTGAAAATCTCCAGATAAACCTAGCTTGATTTTCTTTAAATCTGAATTAACACTAATAACAAAAAATGGTGACTTTATTCTAAGTATACTTTTCATTAAGAAAAATAAAACTCACCTTGCGCTCAAAAGCTCTTTTTTTTAATACATTCAAAGCCTCAATTGGCTGTTGAACAGTTAACGCTGGTACTCCTTCTTTAAATATTCCTGCTTTATTCCATGAAATTCTTTCAATGGTATCACCCAACACTGAAATATGATCAATTCCTAAACTAGTAATACCTGTTACAGTAGGATGCTGTATAATATTCGTAGAATCATATTCTCCACCAATACCTGTTTCCATAATTAAAGTATCCACTTTCTCTGAAATAAACACATGCCATGACATAAGTGTCAAATAAACAAAATAAGACGGTTTGATCTTTGGATCTAATCCTTTGGAAATAGCTGTTTCTTCTAAACAGTTCCAAATTTCAAAAAAATATTTTGCAAATAATTCCTCTGAAATAGGAATACCATTGATCCTAATTCTTTCCCTTACTGATATCAAATGTGGTGATGTATATAGCCCTGTTTTTAATGGTTTTCCATGTCGAGATCGAATTTCTCCTAATATAGATGACACAAATGCACATGTAGATCCCTTCCCTTTAGTTCCAGCAATATGTATGACATTTAACTTCTCAATGTCACTAATCTACGGCTTTTTCTTTATAATTTTTAACTCCTATGCCGTCTCTATTACCTTATATCTTATTCTATATAACCATTCAATTGTCTGTGATAATGACTCATTATTTATTGTTTTTCTAGATCTTTTAAGAATATTTGAGCTTGTTTGAAGTGTATTTAGAGCTCTGATAGCATCCTTTATTTATCAAAATTGTAATTATTCAAGTTTTTAATTACAAACTTTATATGAATAAAAAGCCATTATATAATCTTTTCCAAAATATAAATAAGTCCTTAAAATGTGTTTAATATTATCTTAGCGCTGTATAATTTTAATCAATTTTTAAAGGTCAAAAAGACATATATATATATGGATCGAGAAGTGGAGGGAGGTTGCTTAGAGAGAGCCATATATTTATTTATATATTTATTTCTATGCTTATTTCCATGCTTATTTCCATGCTTTAAATTTATAAATATTTTTCATTTCTAGATTTGTATTTAGTTTTCAATCTTAAATAATAATAATAATAATAATTGATCTTTAAGTTGTAATTAAAATGAAATAAATAAAATAAATGATTGAATGAATAAATGATTAATTTTGTTTTTAAAAGTATGTTTATTTTAAATTCATCAAATATTTTAAAAGATTATATTTTTTTGAAATCTAAAATATTTATACAAATTATATTAGAAATAAATTCAATTCTATTTAGAATTCAATTTTATTCTATTATTTTTAACTATTTGAAAAAATCATAGTATTTTTTGATTTTAATATAAATTATATCTATAAATAATCATTTTAAAAAGTAGATTTATTCTAATTAAAAAATTACAATTTTCTGATCAATTAAAATTTGAATACATAATTATTATTAAATTCATAGAATAATAATAAAAACATAGAATCAATTCTTTAAATATTTAAGGGAAAATGGGATATTTACAAAGAATTACCAATTGTTAATAAATACTATAATAATAATTATATTTTGTTATATTTTATCAAACATTGATCATGAAATATACAATATAATATTAAAAAAAAAACGAATTGTCCTAATTACAGAAAAAAACATTTAAAATACATGAATTCTACAAAAATACATTATTAAACCCATTTTTTTCATAACCCAAGAATCAATGCTTACTAAAAAAACCTATTTCATTAATCATTAAAAAAATAATTTAAAAATATACAAAATTCAAATACTTTTTAAAAACTTTAATGCAATTTCCAACTTATCATTAAATAACAAAAATCAAACAAACAACACAAAAGAATATAAATTTCCAAAAAAAAAACAATGCAAAAAACAATCAAATCCCCGTAATTCCAGGAAGCTATTAAAATCAGAATAATAAAAAAATAACAAAAAAAAACCTCTGTCTGTGAACGGTATTTTCTACACATAAACGGAGATTTACCAGACAGTTGTTTAAGCCATTGCATAAAACCTCGAGATTTCACTAATAAAAATTATAACAAAAAAAAAAAAAAAAAAAAATACATTTATGAAGTCTCATATCCGATAATTCAGCTTTCCATGTATCTATCTGACCTTGATACCACTTAATCTCCTGAAAAATTTGATCTACAAAATTAATCAATTACAAACAAAAAAAAAAAAAAACCATTCTTCTGACGAAGTTTCATCAACTTTAATAAAGACAATTGCCATTCACACTGAGACAAATCCTCGCATGGTGTATTTGATAAATAATTTTGTAATTCCTAACCTTATTAAAATAAAAATTACTACTTCAAAAAGTCCATACGAGCTCCCGTTTTCTATAAAGCTTACCCTCCATCTTCTTGACCTTTACTTTAAGCGTTAAACTATGTAACATCTCAATCATATATAATTCTTTTTCCTCCCATGTTTCCAAGTCCTGTTCATTTGGAACTTCTTCAATATTCTCCATTTTTTTCCGGGAAAAAAAGCAAAATACTTATTAATAAGGGTAAGAAGAGGAGGAAAAGTGCTTTTTTAGGGATTATTTTATGCCTTCCCAGGCAAAACGCTAAACTTTATTTTTTCTGCTTTTTTCCAACGTTGCATAGGTCGACAGAGAGCCTTTAACGACTCGACTTCAAAAAAAAATAAAAGTGGGAAATATAGGTAAGAGAAGCGATTTTCAAGATAAAAAACAATTTATAAGGTTATTTAGGGCCTATATAACATAGTATGCGTTTTTTCAGGGAAAAAAAAGGAAGAATTTTGGTGGAAAAACAATTTTTTTAGAATTAAAATTTTGAAACCACAATATATAAGTGGAATATATATATAAGACGTTTTTAAGGAATTATATTGAATAATATCTTATACATTTTTGGGATAATTAGTTTTTATGGAAAAAAAAGGGCCAAAATGGAAAAAAATCAATCAAATAACGAAACATCTAAGGAAACACCATGTTATAAAGAACAATGTGCAATACAGAAGAAAAAAGTACAAGAATAGTTATTATTTTTATTGAATAGGGTTAAATGGCAGTAGAAATGCAAAAATTTTCAATATTTATGGAATACAGATAATAATTTTTTTAATACGTCTAATGAGCAAAATTCGTCTAAAAGTTCAGTAAAATCACAACAAAATTGTCATAATAATACAGAAGAACTGACTATTTCTGAAAAAACGCTAAAACAAATAAAAGTTTGTGAATTATTAAATGAACTTTCATTAAAACCTGCAAAAAAAAATACTGACCATAAGTTTTGGAATACACAACCTGTGCCTTCTTTTGGTAATAATTAAGAGTTAAAAGTGATATTTATAGATTGAATCTTTATAGACGAGGAAATTATAGAAGAAGGACCTATTGATGATAGTAAGGATCTGGAAAAAGTTAATAAAGAGCCATATACGCTTTTAAAGGAATTTGAGTGGACTACTATGGATATTGATAATGAAAAAGAGGTATATGAATTTATGTAAAAAATTTCATGCTTTATAAATTATATAGTTAGCGGAGTTATATGAACTTCTTGCAAAAAATTACGTTGAAGATGATGATTCAATGTTTCGATTTGATTATTCAACGTCATTTTTGACATGGTATTTTTTTCCATATTATTATGTCTTTCTTTTTTTTTTAATTAATTTAGGGCAATGAAACCACCTGGATTTCATAAAAACTGGCACGTTGGAGTACGTGTTAGTGCATCTCAAAAACTGGTTGCTTTTATTTCGGGTATACCTATTTCTTTATGTGTCAGAGATCGTATTATAAGCTGCAGCGAAATAAACTTTCTATGTATACATAAGAAACTTAGATCAAAAAGATTAGCACCTATTTTAATAAAAGAAATAACTAGGCGCTGTAACCTTTTAGGTATTTGGCAGGCCATATATACAGCAGGAATTATACTTCCTAGTCCTATATCTTCATGCCAATATTATCATCGTAGTCTTAATTGGCAAAAATTATATAATATAGGATTTTCTCCTCTGCCTAGGGATTCTACGATAGCACGGCAAATTCAGAAGTTTAAACTTCCACAAGAAACATCAACTTCTGGTTTAAGGCCTACAACAATTGATGATCTTGAACAAATCTCAAATTTATTAAAACGTTTTTTAGAAAAATTTGACCTTTATCAAGTATTTTCTGATGATGAAATAAAACATTGGTTTATTCCAAACAAGGACGAAAATGAAAGGACACTCTTTTCATATGTTGTTGAGGTATTTTTTTGCTATACCTTAACATATTCTAATAATATAAAAGGATCCTTCAACAGGAAAAATAACAGATTTTTTTTCATTTTATTCTCTTCCATCTAGTATTATTTCAGATGAAAAGTACAAAACTCTTAATGCAGCATATCTATTTTATTATGCATTAGAATGCGGTGTTAAAAAAGATATGAATCAAACTGAATTTAAAACATATGTCGATAGATTAAATCTTTTAATGAAAGATTGCTTAATTATCGCAAAAAATGTTATTAACTTTTTCTTTTAATTACTTTTTTAATATTTTTATAGTATAATTTCGATGTTTTTAATGCACTGACACTGATGGATAATCCATTTTTCCTTGGAAATCAGAAATTTGGTCCAGGAGATGGGAAACTAAATTATTATTTATTCAATTATCGTGCAAGATATATAAATCCCGGTGTAACTGAAACAGGAGAGCTAGATGTTAAAAATGCATCTTCTATAGGCGTTGTTATGTTATAGTGAAATATTATGTGTGATCTATTAATCAAAATATTATTGTCTAATAGATTAAATTATATTATAGTAAAAAAATTATATTAAAAGATACTTTTTTGAAAGATTTATATCTTTTTTTTTTAATGTAGATCATTTTATATATAAATTCAAGATATAAACAAGTGTTGGTATAGATATTTAATGTTATATTAATTTTCAATGTTTAATTTTTTCTCATCTCGTATTTTATCAAGTTTTATAAGTTCATCAGGTCCTAATTTACCACCATCAACAGTTCCTAAAAGCGCATCAAAAATCTCCGGATGCACTGGATCCTTGTCCTTCAAAAATGAATCTTCTTTTTCATCATATAAAAACTGAATATTATAGCTTGGAGGTGACCCAGTAGGAATCTCTTGAAAAGATTTATTAACAGCATCATCCAATTCCTCCATAGAAGCAATAAAGTTCTCAGAATATGAATATAAAGTAAGAAAATGACGTAATCGTTCTTCTTTATCTTTATTTTTTGTTATTTCATAATTTTTTCTTTTTTGTTTCATTCGTTTCATCTTATTTGAATCAGAAATTGGATATTCATTCTCAATTAATAATTTAATCGTTGGTATAGAATATTTATGATGTCTTTCTGCACAAAGTGTTAATTCCTTTGTCTTAATCATCTCATTTATCTTTTCTTTTTCCTGTATTTTCTCTAAATCCTTTTTTTTTTGTTCTACAACATATTCTGTTAAATATTTACGTCTTAACTCCTTCATCTTAGATCTCCATGTATTTTTTTCATCTTTTGATCTTGGTTCAGCAACTGTTTTATGTAAATCAGGATATTTTAGCTTTTTTTCAGATTCAAAGCTAATTTTTCTTGGAGGATATATATCTGGTGCATATCCCTTAATACCAGGAACATAATTATAGGATCCCGGGCTTGTATTTCTTATTTTATTCCCAGAAGAAGTTGATTTAATATTTCTAGAACAGAAAAAACATCTTTTTAAACTAAAACTTAACATTTTTTTAGAAAAAATAAAAAATATAGCTTTTATTATTAATCTATTAACAATATTTAGTATTTATTAATAAGATTTATATAAATCTTTACCATAATTTTTAAAAACTAAGTATATTCTAAAAATTTGAAGCTTTCGAAACCTCTTGCTCTATAAAAAGACCAAAAATACTCAAAAACTATGTTTAATAGAAATTAATGTATGAAAGAATATATATATTTAAAGTAGATATTTATATATGTAAATTAAATATATATTTCTAATGAAAAGAATGACAAAAATAAATTTTAGATATTTTGAAAGAATAGAAAAATATAAGATATATTATAGCCCATTTTGGTTAACTTTGTGAATAAATTATCCTAGAAACGACAATATCATGATGAAGAATTTGATTATGATCTTTAAAAAATAAGAAAAAAGCAATATTTTAATTTTTTTAATACTTACTTCCCCATGCAGCCTGAAGATATGCAATTCTTTCATTATCGTGATTAGATAAAATAGATACTTCGCCCTTCTTTTCTTTTAATGTTACTAAGTCTTTCCATGTTTGATTTTCCCTAGTAACAGTTACATTAATAGCAGCAACAAAAAGTTCAAAAGAATGATAAAAATCAATATGACTATCATCTTTTGAATGAATAAATGTTATTTTTGTCCCGCTTTTTTGTGATATTTTTGAAAAAGCTTGAATCCTTTCTAATGAATTCCAAGGATGATATAAAAATTTAAATACAAGTTTTTTTAAACCAGGATACATCTTTAAAGGTGACATAATTGGGAAATAACCTCCCAATTTATATGTAGATAATAAAGATTTTACAGAAGAAAAACCAGCAATTGATACCAAATGTCCTATAAATATAGGATTTTTTAAAGTTGATAATTTCTCAGCAACCCCAATTGCAACTGCTGTTCCAAGACTTTGTCCTACTAAAAGTATAGATGATGGTTTTACCTTTGCCACTTCCATTGCCCATTTTACAACAGAAATTCCATCCTCAATTAATCCTTCTTCACTTGGCTTACCTGATGATTTTCCAAACCCTCTATATTCAACTGCAAAAACATGAACATCATCAAATGATGTCATAATTCTATAAAAACTCATACGATGTCTAGCTGCTATATTACAAGCAGTACCATGAACTAAAGTTTAATTAACTATTATATACTTTAACCTTTCTTAATTACAATATATTATAAGCTTTGTTTTAGAACTTTTTGATAATAAAGAAATAAAAAAATCATGCAATTCTTCTTCTTCTTCAATTTCTGACAATTTTATATGGTTTTTGTAATAAACATTATGGGGTAAGATATGCCAAAGAAAAATATTCTCATGATCTGATGTTTTCAAAAAAAATGGATAAATTCTCCGAGCTTTTCCCCAAATAAGCTTCTTAATTTCTTAAGCAATTATTAATAATAACATACGTGAAAATCCAAGATATTCTGGCTGCAGGGAATCTATTTTTGAACAACTTACTATTTTGTGTAGATAAAAAACGCTAAAATATCAGTTTTTTATGCAATTTTCAGGAAATACTAACTTTCTTTGAATAAATGGCACTGAAAGAGATAAAATAAAGACAATATACCCAATAAATAAGGCCAAAACAAAGTAATATCCTTTATTTAAAATACTCATTTTTAATATGGTGGTTGGAGAGAGAGAGAGATCACGTGATTTAAGCAACGACCAAAAAATAAAAAAAAAGAAATAAGAAAGTTTTGAGATAAATAAGTAAAAAAAAGAAGAAAATATGAATGAAAACGAACAGAACGTAGGGGAATTAGGGGGGATTAGTTTTTTTTCGAAAAAAAACGGATATCTGAGACAGAAAATAGCTAATGGATTTGGATTACCTATATATAATAAACCTCAGAAGATTTTAGAGGAAGATGAGGATAAATATAGGACAATAGAAGATAGGTATTCATATATTTATGAAAAAGGAGGTATCTTAGGAGATAAGTGGTGTTCTTATGTCAAGTATATATCAATCACGACAAACACTTCTTCAAGGGTTAATATTTAAAAAGTTTTCAAAGGATTATAGTTCTAAGAAGCAAAATAATGATATAGAGAAGACGAATAATAAGCAAAAAGTTTCTAAGATTGGAAATTTTACATTAGATATTGAACTTTTTTCTTTTCCAGAAACGGTTTTTTATTTAGTAAAATATGTTACAAAAGGAGAAAATACAATGCCATATAAGAATATAGAAGAAGTAGAGAAGCCAGGAAGTTCAAATTCAAAATTTCAATGTAAAAATGAAAATACGTATAGTAGTAGTGATAGTGACATCAATGGTATAAAATCAGAAAATATAACAAATTATACAACATTTAGGCCAGAAATTAAATATTTAGATTTTTTTAAAAAATATTTTATGGAAATCTTTGAAAATGATCCTTTAAAAGTAGAAAAAACAAATAGAATGATAGAACGACTAAAAATTGTTTCATTAAATCCAGATTTTAAAGAAATACTACATTTAATTATGACAGGAAAAGCAACAATTGAGCAAAAAACAATATTTAACTTATATATGACATCACCTCAATTACAACAAATTCCAAGTAATTATAATGAAAAGATAACATTATCATCTATCTTTCAAAATAAATGTTTAGGAAACAAAGATAATAATAATAATAAAAAAGAAAAAACAAAACAAAAGAGAAATAACAATTATAAAGATGCAGAAATTATTTTTGAATTTAAAGAAAATCCAGGAGAAAAATGGATACTTCCTAAAGATATTATAATTGAAAAATTAAATACTAAAGAACCATTTGAAGTAAATATCAATTCTTATGATAGAAAATTTATTTATAATTTAGGTTCTTATATCATTTATATATACTGAAGATTCACTATGTGAACAATTCCAACCAATCACTTTAAAAATTTCATCTTGTAGTCAAAAATTATGGGATTTTATATCAAAATATTCAAATGATAAAAAACAAGTATATGAATCTATGTCAAAAATTCTAAATGGGAAACGTCCAGAAAAATTATATTTTCAATATAGAATTACAATTGCAGATACAAAAACATTTAAAAATGAACCAGAAGAAAGAATAAACATAGTTTCTAGAAATAAAAAATCAATACTTCCACAAAAAAGAAAAATGGTATTTATGTTTATTTTAAATATAGTGCTAAATTTTATATAGATTGATGAAAATGATACAATTTCATTGTCATATACAAACAATAAATCGACATCACCAATAACTTCAAAAAAAACTGAAAAGAAACATATTGTTTTGCCCAAAGATTGGAATTGTAATATATGTAATGCTACAGAAACTCCTTTAAGGCGTCGTGGTCCAGATGGACCTGGAACATGTAAGTTGATTTAAATATTATATTATTATTTTTTTTTAATTTGTAATTTAGTATGCAATGCATGTGGAGTAAGAATATTATTTTTTACTTTATATAATAATAACAATTATATTTTAGATGAAATGGAAAGGAGGAAAAAAAATACCAATCTCTAAAGAGTATAAAAAAATCGATAAAACATATGTTGATAATAAAGATCAAAACTAGATAAAACTTTTATCTTTTAAAAACGAATCTTCAAAAATAATTTAGTTTCGGAAATTATCAATTATTATTTTATAATAAAAACCTCCAATATCTCAAACATTTCATGTTAAATATTATACATAATATAAATGGTTAATAAATAATCTTATAATAAATTTTACTTTGAAAAAATCAAGGTTTTCTAAAGATAATACAGTTTAGATTATTATATATACAGTTTCTATCATGTAAAACCATTACTTTTTAGCACCATCTGTACAATATTAAAAAAATTGTAAATAATCAATTATTATACCTTTTTTAATGATATATAATTTTTGAATTTTCATACTTTTCTGAAATTTGTAGTCTTTAAATTGGAATAAATGAATATTTACTATAATTTAAGGTCAGAAAATCATAAAAAATTTAATATGTTAAACCTTATCCCAAAATTTCCTTGTCCATCTCTAATAACCATGCCTTTAATAACACCCAATACATAATGAGGTTCTGGCATTACAATTCTTGCACCATCTGTCGGTCCAAGCATAAAATCTGAAGGAAGAGGCAAATGCTGATGTCTTCCTTGTTGATCTGAAGTAAATGAAATATTTTCTTGAGAATTCTGAGATACAGGAAGATTAGATTGATTAATTTCTGAATAATTTTTCACTTTCTGGTATTGATTATTCATTAATGATGCCCCATACTGAACATTCTGAGGGCTTATATAATTGTAATATGCATTATTATATTGTACCGGATATGAGGTATGATTTGCTGACATTTGAATATGATTATAATCTATTTTTATATTAAAAAATATCCTTATAAATATCATTTTACCTATATAATTCTGTTGTGCATAATTATTATATGGGAGACCAGGATGCTGAAAGTTAGGATGAACATATCCAGGAACAAAATTAGCAGAATTATTAAGAGAATTTTCATTGGAATTCTTTTGAATAGACAAAGAACCCTTACTAGAATTATTATGATTTTTCTGTAAACCTCTGAACTTTTCCCTCATTTCTTTTCGTCCTCGTCCCCGGCGAGAATCACCATAATGAACAGAATGAGAATTTTCTGCATTTTTTGCATATTTCTTATCACGATAACGAAAACGTTGACGATTGCGAGAGATATTTCGCTTTTGCTCCATATTTTTGGGTTCACGAGGAACATTTTTCAAAAAACATTTTGTTTCATCTTTTAAATGATTTGATGCTGTAAGTTCATACCAAATTTTTAAAGACTTATCTAGATCTGATCCTTCATTAAAAAAAAAAAAATCATAATAAGAAAAATACCACTATCTAATTCCAATTCCTGTGTAACATCTGTAGTTTTTTTGCTATTTTCATAATATAATTCATCAATAGCATCCGAAAAAGATTTTATAACAGCATCCTTTTCACCAAACCGAAGATTTATTATCTTTTGATAATCAGAAAACCTTCATAAACTCTCATATCTTTTAACCTCAGAATCCAAATTAATATCTTCATATTGGAATTTTTCATTCTGAAATAAAATATAAAAAAATACAAAACAAATTCAATAAATATTTACCTGAGAAATTATAGATTCCTTTGCACTTTCAAGAACGTCATGATTACAAAATAATTTCAAATCATCTTTAAGCTTATCAAAATCTGAAATAAGCTGTCTCTGACAAGATTCTGACTTTTTACTCAAAAAATTCAAAATATACTAATTCATAAAATAAATATACACCTCTTTCTTCATAATATTAAGACATACTTGTCGAGAACATTCTTGAATCAAAATATGAAGAGGATTATTCGATCTTCTTGGTTTTTTCGCAAAAAAAGGAACATTCCCATTATCCTCCTTACATTTCTTATCAAAATAAATATCTTTCCCTTCATTTTCATATGATTTTTCATCATCATTCTGAGAATTAACTGTCAAATTTTCTGAACTCAAAAAATCCCTATTTTCCACCAAATTTAAATCCGCATTTTCAGCAGTATCCATTATCTCCTCATATATTCTATTTTAACTGCGGAAATCATAGGTTTCTATAAAAAATATTAAGTATTTTAGTTAAAATATTTTCATCTTTTTTTTTGACATCTGACAAATCCTCAGATAACAACCGAGCTTTTTGAAATTTAATAAAAATTAAAAAAAAGGGCAAAATGAGCACAAAATTAGAAGAATATCCAGCGGAGAACGCTGAAGAGGTTAGGAATTATATATAATCGCTTTTTTTCCGTGTTTTTAACCGCTTTTATAGATAGAAAAACAGGTTTAAATGAAATAATTATATATTGTATAAGATATTTAAGAATGGCACTAGTTTGCGGTAAAAGTTGTTGAACATGCTCGTATTAATGGTTATATTTATATTTATATTCTTATTATTGCCTTAGAAGTCTATTGGAAGTTGTTAACAAGTACTAAAGGAAGCACGCTACGTCTTACTAGGTTTTTCTATATAGACATAATATAAGTGATATTGAAGGGTTTTTAAGGATAGATGATGAGATATATGAACATTTCACAAGAGAATTCCAGGAATTTTCGACAAAAGAGTTTGTTTCTTTAATTGATGAAAATCAATTAAAATCATCTGAAAACAAAGCAAAATGGCGCAAATTCATGATGGTATATGAAAATAAGGTTTAATAGGACATTAATATTCTCAGAAAAACATTAATTCTATTATTTTAGGTTGACAATTATAATTTTGGCACATTATTAAGGACTGATTCACGTGGAGAATATGAAGAAAAAACCACTATTTTTGGTAAAAAGGATAAATATCTTAATATTAATTGATAACATGTATTTAGTACCCAGAATACAGGTAATTGTTACCTTTTATTACATATTTTTTATTATTAAAGTTTTACGCATTCGAAATTGCACGCAATCATCATGGTCTTAATGATTGGATCTATGAAACATATAAAACAAAATAAGAAAAGTATGAAATTAAACATTTTATGCATATCTTTTTTTCAGAAAAAAAAAAGATTTCTTCAAGGTGTATCATTTTTTTTTCGGATACTTAGAAAAAATTATATATTATAGATATTTTTGGAAAAAACACTAAAAATCTATTATCATTAATTAAAACCATTAGATAAAATGTTTTAAAGGAATATAGCATCAAATACTTTTATGAAAGATCATCAAACTTCTGATTTAGAAAAAATTTCAACATCTTTTACAAATTCACTAGAAAATGACAAAGATGCCATAAAACATGCTAGTTTTTTGAATATTATTGTTTTTTTGAAGAGAAAGGATGCATTCATACTTTTTTTTGCCTGTATTATATCAATTATTAATGGCTTTTTTAAGCCATACATGACATTTTTATTAGGAAGACTTTTTCATGCTTTTTCATTAATTTCTTTGAAAAAAATAACAGAAAAACAATTCAAGGGTCAAATAGATCAATATATACTTCATCTTGTAATTTTAGCAATTGCTTCATTCATTGGAGGATGGCTATTTCAGTCATTATGGTATATTTTCGCAGAGATATATATTAAACGAGTTTATAGAAAACTATTTTCTAATTTTGCGTCTAAAAAATTTGAATGGTATGACTGTAACAGAAGTGGCATTTCAGGTCTTATTAATCGCTGTGAAAAGTCTGAATTTTTTAAATTATAATTTTTATTAATTTTTTTTAGAGATATTCAAAGTTTACATTATGCCCTTTCAAATGCACTTGGAAGATTGTTATCTTCCTTTATTACACTTGCTATTTCTTTATTTATTGCCTTTTGGTATTCTTGGAAGTTAACATTTGTAATTTTGGTTTCCCTTCCTGTTGTTATTTTAATTGCAGTTATTACATCTTATTTCATTTGGCCTCATATCTATCGTGAAAAAGAAGTTTTAGCTCGAGCAGCAACTCATATTAATCAAACAATTGTAAATATGCCTATTGTCAAGGCATTTAATGCTCAGCAATATGAATCTCGGAATTTTAATAAATATATATCAGAATCAAGTAATCTTACGCGTCGCTATAAAAGAACATATTCTATACAGCAAAGTATTATTAGATTCGTTGTCCTAGTTATGTTTATACAAGGGTTTTGGTATGGAACACATTTAGTTATCACAAATGAAGTATCTTCCGGAAACGTATTAACTGTTTTTTGGGCTTGTCTCATGATATCTCATTCAATGCAAACAATTGTTCAACTTTTGCTTTATCTTAAAGCTGGAATAATTTCGAGTTATGATTTACAAAATATATTTAAAGAGGAAAAAAATAAGAAAGATATATACTTTTTTGAGGGTAGACATTTTCCAGGAGAATGTCATGGAAAAATTGTATATGATATGGTAACAATATCTATTTAGTAATATTTAAAGATTCTAAAGAGATAGGTTTCATTTGCATACCCATTAAGGCCAGAAAAAATAATATTAAAAGATGTTTCCCTAGTTTTTCCAGCAGGGAAAACTACTTTTATTGTTGGATCTAGTGGATCAGGAAAGAGTACACTGGCTTCTTTACTGATTAAGATCTATAAACCAGATAATGGTTCCATTTATATAGACAATAGAAATATTGACTTATTAAATACAAATTGGGTAAGAAACAATATAACTTTAGTAGAGCAGCCTGTAATTTTCAATGAAACTCTAAAATTAAACATAACTCTCGGAAAACCTTTGCCTAATTCAACAGATATTTCAGAAATAAAAAATGCCTGTAGAATGGCTCTGCTTGAAGAAATGATTCATGAGCTTCCTAATGGATATGATACAAAGCTTGGGATGAATGGAATGTCATTGAGTAATGGACAGATGCAACGCGTTGCAATCGCTCGTGCAAGATTCAGGAATACACCTATTTTGATTCTTGGTAAGATTATATTCTATTATTTTTATTTGTTTACGTGATAAGATGAATCAACTAGTTCACTTGATTACATTAACCGTTCTCTTATCTATGATGCAATAAGATTTTGGCGCAGAAATAAAACAACTATTATTATTACTCATGATATGAGTCAAATAAAAGATTCAGATTATATATATGTTATGGATGAAGGTTTTCTAGTTCAGAAAGGGTATAAAGATGCTCTTCTACAAGATAAAAAAGGAAGATTTTTTAATGTTTATTCACAAAGAAAAGAAAGTAAAATCAATTCTATTTCTTCAGAAAAAACGCACAATTCGTTTGAAAACAGATCAAAGGATTTGTCGGTAAAATCATTTTCTAATGAAAAATTAGAAATAGATCAAGCTGTTAATGAATCTTTAAAAGCAAGGTTAAATAAGGAAGAAATATTTTTATTAAATTCTGGAAATATTATATTACAGAACCGAAAAAACATTGCTAATGTCCGAAATTCATTAGTTTCAAACATGAATAATCATAAAATTAAAAAAAAATATCGTTTTCAAAAAAAGGGTTTTCAACTAAATCTATCATTGCTGACTATATTAAAAAATAATTGGCGCTTTATTAATAAAAAAACATATTTTATCCTAGGGCTACTTTTCTGTATAGGAAATGGATTTTCTACTCCACTTTTTTCATACGCACTTTCTAAACTTCTTGCATTATTTTTTTCTTCAAAAACTATGTTACAGATTAAAAAAAAATCATCAGAATATTCTATGTTTATTTTAGGAGTGTCATTTTTTGACTCACTCACTCTCTATTTAAAAATATATCTTCTTGAGTATTGTGCAGATTCTTGGATAACTAATATTCGTTCTACCTTATTTAGAAATATGCTATCTCAAGATATCCACTATTTTTCTGAAAAAACATATTCTAGTGAAAATACTACAAGAATCATAATTAATGAAACAGAATTAACGAGATCTATCTTTGAACAGATTACAGGAAATATTTTGGTTGCCGTTGTTATGGTACTTGTAGGGGTTATATGGTCATTTGTTATTGCGTGGAAATTAAGCATTATAGTAGTAGGAATAGCGCCATTATTATATATTTCAGTTCGATGCAATTCTTATTTAAATACCAAATGGGACAATAAGTATAAAGATGAAAACATCAATGCAATGTCTATTTTATATGAAGTATTTTCTTCTTTTTATCATGCTTATTGTAACATTTATAGTATTCAGAGAATATTTTTACTGTTAAGGCTTTATTACTTGATAATTTTTTTCAGAAAAAATTTATGTTATCAATAGAAAGAATTTTTGCAAAAGGTATTCAAAGAGCTATTTATATTGGATTTGGTCATGGAATTACGGAATCTATTATTTTTTCTTTTCAAGGTTTAAGCGTTAATTTCCATGATTTAAATTCTAATATTAATACAGCGCTATTATTTTGGTACGGCTCAAAATTTATTTTAAATAGGACATATACACCTATCGTTGTATTAACTATATTTTCTTTAATTATATTTTCAGTTGTTACTGCTTCTCAATTTTTGTCAATGGGTAAATATTGTATTTTAAATTCATATTATTTGACAATTGAAGTTCCTCAATATAATAAAGTCAAGAAGGCATATCAAAGTGTTAAAAATTTATTTAATATATCAGAAAAGAACATTGAGAACAGGGGCTCATTAATTGTTCCTATATATGGAGATATTATATTTAAAAATGTATTCTTTTCTTATCCTGGTCATTCTGATATTCAAGTACTAGAAAATATAAATTTGAAAATAGAAAATAATAAAAAAATTGCATTAGTAGGGTAAACATTTTATAATTAATATTATAATTTTTCTAAATAATTTTTAGATTATCCGGCTCAGGAAAATCTACAATAGTTTCATTAATTCAAAAACTTTATCAAGTTCAAAGTGGGTTTATTACAATAAATGGGCATAATATATCATCTATTGAGACCAAATGGTTAAGAAATCATATTGCAGTTGTAAGACAAACTCCGATGTTATTTAATCGAACTATTGAAGAAAATATTGCATATGGCTTAGGTAATACTTAATTTGCTCAAGTTTTCTTATATACATTATTAAAAACGTATAGACTCATTTGATATATCTGATGTTCGAAAAGCCGCCCAAAAAGCAGCTATAGATGATTTTATTATGAAATTGCCTGATGGATATAATACTGTTCTAGGTGATTATGGAAGAGGTCTATCTACTGGACAAGCTCAGAGAATTTCCTTGGCACGAGCATTTATTAGGAACCCAAGTATTCTTATTCTAGACGAATGTACAAGTTCTTTAGATTCACTCTGCGCTTCATCTATTCAAGGAATTATAAAAAATATTACTAATATCACTGTTATCATTATAACACATTCTAAAGAAATGATGAAACTAGCAGATAAAATTATATTGTTAAAAAATGGACGAATTGTCGAAACAGGTACTTATGACGAATTAATAAATATGAAGAAGGATTTCTGGACATTAATACAAAAGGGTCAATGGATATGATTTATTTTCAACATGAAATATAAGGCCCAGCAAATCACATTTTATTAAATTAAATTATTCATATATTTAAATTATTTTTTATTAATGATATCCTCTATATACATTTAATTCATGAGCAAGTTTCCTATTTTCTTTTTTCAAATTTTTAATTTCTTTATTCTTAAACTTCAATATCTTCTCAAACTCCAATTTTTGTAACATAAATTGTTTTATTAATTCAACATGCAAATTCTGAATATCTTGGCGTATTCCTTTTTGGCTCTCTAAAAGCATATCTTTAAATGTTAACATATTGTCAGAAAAAAAATCAGATTTTTTTAAATCAGATTGTAATTCTTTTGTTAAAAATACGTCAGATTTTTGAGACTTGAAAGATGACGATGATACATCAGAAGTTTTCATCAAATCATCGGCTTCTGAATTTTGAACATGTTTTCCTAATGTCAAACGATCTACAGTAGGAGTTTTAATATCTGTATTCTGATTATTTTCAAACTTAAGCCATATATCAGGAGTAGTAGATGGCGTTTTTATGTTTTTTTCAGACGAATTCTCTAAAATTATTTCATTTATCTGAAAATCCCGTTTACCAGAACGTTTTGTAAAAGACTTGAGTATTTTTTTAGAACTTTTTGGAGTTTCAAATTTAAATCCTGGTCTAATCTCATGAATCTTAGTCGGCGAAAGTATATTATTAGGGAAAATAGTTGTAAAGGAATCTTTTGAAAGCATATTTGTTGCAGATATTTTTTTAGTAGAATTTTCAAGAGGTATGTTTTCTTTAAATGTTAAAAAAATCAATTGATGAAAAGATATACCTTTGCCAATTGAAACAATTGATAAATTATTACCTGATATTCTTTTATTAGAACCATGCAGCTCCTTTTTATTGTATACATTATTTTGATTTTTATGAAATTCTAAATAAAAAATTTATGTTAAAAATAAATATTTCAAAAAAACTAATACTCTTTTTAATTTCAGAATGAGTTCCATCAATTGTACTTTTCGAAACATTGTCTTCTAAAAAAAGCGAATTCAAAAATCTATTATCTAAAGATTGTATTTCTTCTCCAGGAGAACAATCTTGCATATCTGTAGAAAATAATGATCTAGACACTTTAAGATTCGATTTTTCAATAACAATATCTGAAAATTCTTCAGAAATATATATATCATTTGCCAACTAATGTCAAATTAATAAACACAAATTAAACTAATATTATTATACTGTTGAAATATGAATAATTTTTTCTGAACTATCAAAAGAATATTCAGAAAGTTTTAAACCTTCTTGATTAAAGTAAAAGCATTTCTCGTTAGATGCAATAAAAACATTCCACCCTCCATTCAATTCTTTAACAGACAATAAATCACTAAAAAAATCTATTGACCATTTTACTTGAACATTTCTTTTTTCAAAATCAATAATAGAAACTTGTCCATTTAAATCAGTACAAATAGCAGACGAATTTTCATTAGGCAAAAACGATGCAGATGTGACAGAAAGATCTTTTATCTCAAATATAGGCTGCATAGGTTTTTTAACATCATAAAACCCAAGTGCTCCATTTAAAAAATGAAGAAGAAAAATATTAGATCTTCGAGGATGAAAAATTCCATTAGTAACATTCGAAAAAACTATACCAGATATTATTTTATTAATTAATCCAGTATTACGATCTTGAACAAAAATAATAGATGGATTTTCTGAAACCGTTAAAATAAACTTAGAATCTTTTGACATTGTCATAAATGTTATAGGTGATGGATGCCTCTAAAAAGTGTTAATTAAAAGCATAATATATATATCTTCAACTTTTTGAGTCTCTAACGGTAAATTCTTATTAATCCTAATATTATAATTCATTATTTGACCCTTCTCATTGATAAAAAAAAAATCATCAGAATCTTCTCCAAAAACAAAGTGTTTAACATTCTTTATAATAAATAAAATCATTCCATTAAAAAAACATACATACTTCTGAGTTTGGTACAACAATGGCCTTTTCTAGGTCCTTTAAATCATATAAATAAACAGAATCCATAGAAATCGCAATAAACCTCCCTATCAATGATCAATTCTAAATAAATATAGAAAAAACAAGACGATAAACACCATCAAAAGAGCTTTTAGCAATAAATGGCTCAGAAATAGCAATTCTAAGAGATATTGATGGGGAAAAAAAAGTACCCAAAAAATCCTCTTTCGAGCAAAAATTAAGGATATAAATATAAGACGTTGTATTAAATAAAACGAGGTTATTTTGCCCCATTTTCTAGTAAAATATTAAGGCCAAAAGGCTATTTTCTAAGACAAATCGAAATCAAAACATAATATTTTAAAATTTAGAGGTTATTATATCGAGATTTTTAACGTCAAAAAAAAATGAAAAAAGAAAAAAATAAAAAAGAGGGTCAAGGAAGGTCTAAAATTGAAAAAAAAGTATCTCAGCATATTAAGGGAGAGAATTTTTATAGGTATTGTTTTTTCAGCGGTTTTTTTTGAGCTTTTAATGATGTTATAGGGATGCAAAGAAAGTCAGATGGATCAATCTTTTAAAAAGTGGAAAAGCTAAGAGAAATAAGAGTGGAAAGATAATTAAACAAGGAGAATTTCAGTCAAAAGATGTACAGGATGCAAGAATCCAGCCATATCGGCGTTGGTTTAGTAATACACGAGTTATTTCTCAAGATGTATTAAATATGTTCCGTGAATCATTTGCAGAAAAATTAAATGATCCCTGTAAAGTTTTACTTAAGCAAAATAAGCTTCCTATGTCTCTTCTTATGGAGCCTACAAAAGTTTATTATAATTTATAAAGATGTAAATAATACTAAAAAAATTTTAGACACGTAAAGCAAATATTATTGATATAGAACCATTTGATGATACATTTGGAAAAAAATCAAAAAGAAAACGAGCAAAATTATATGCATCATCGATAGAAAATCTTTCAAATTTTGCTTTTGAATCATATGAAAATTATATTAAAAAAAATTCTGAATATGAAAATGTTGATAAAAATATTCAAAAATCATTTGAAGCTATTTTTTCAAAAGGAACATCTAAAAGAATATGGAACGAACTTTATAAGGTATTTTTTAAAATAAAATAATAAAATAATAATTATTCCAGGTCATTGATTCATCCGATGTAATAATACAATTATTGGATGCCCGTAATCCATTGGGTACTAGATGCAAACATGTTGAAGAATATCTCAAAAAAGAAAAGCCTCATAAACATATGATTTTACTTTTAAATAAATGCGATTTAATTCCGACATGGTGTACTGTAAGTAATTTTGACCATAAATATTTAAAAAAAAAAAGCAATTTACCCATTGTAAGTCAAGAAGTTTTCAAAAAACATTTTATAATGTTTCTATTGTTATGCTTCTGTTACAACTTTGGGAGAAAAATATTGATTTATAATAAAATAAATCAATTGTGTTTTTTGAGTTGAAAGTTGAATTGATTTTAAGTCAAGGATTCTTCTTTCATAGTTACAAGACATATATATTACATTATTAATCTAAATATCTTCTAATATTATAATTAGAGGGAATGGATTAAACAATTGTCAAAAGAATATCCTACTTTAGCATTTCATGCCTCAATAAATAATCCATTTGGAAAAGGAAGCCTTATTCAATTATTACGACAATTTTCAAAATTACATTCTAATAGGCGTCAAATCTCTGTAGGATTTATTGGTTATCCTAATACTGGAAAATCTTCTGTGATAAATACTTTAAGATCTAAAGTATAATTTATATTTCATTTAGAAAAACTATTAATGATATCTAGAAAGTATGTAACACAGCACCTATTCCAGGAGAAACAAAAGTATGGCAATATGTTCGTATGACTTCAAAGATATTTATGATTGATTGTCCTGGTATTGTACCACCAAATAGCAATGATAGTGAAACAGAAATTATAATAAAAGGTGCTCTTCGAATAGAAAAAGTCTCTAATCCAGAACAGTATATTCATGCTATCTTAAATCTTTGTGAAACTAAACATCTTGAAAGAACTTATCAAATTTCAGGATGGGAAAACGATTCTACAAAGTTTATAGAATTGCTAGCTCGAAAAACGGGAAAACTACTTAAAGGCGGAGAAGTTGATGAATCAAGTATTGCAAAGATGGTCAGTTTAAAATAATCTATATATTTTATTTTAATTATAATATAGGTAATTAATGATTTTATACGCGGAAAAGTTATTTTAATATTTTTATTTACTTTTAATAATCTTTTTAGATACCATGGTTTATAGCACCTGCTCAAGAAAACGACCCATCAAACATTAAATTGTCTAATAATACACTTGTTGAAAAAAACCATTTAACTACATTAGATGATGAAATTTATAATGATGCCAATCCAAATGCATAATACTATGAATATATAAAACCATATAGTCTATATTATGGCGACATATATGTATTTATAAAACTTTTTAGATACTATCTATAATTTCAATTGTTTAACACCACTTCTGTACATCTATGACATATATCTGAATTCATATTTACTGTATACATCCAACAACGTAAACATTTTTTTTTCTCTGAAAGTTTAAGTACTAAATGACAAATGCTTCCAAAAAGTGTAATCTCTTGATAATCATTCCATTTTTGATTAAATAATTCAGAATCCATAGAAATTACTGAAACACCAGAGACGATAAGTATTTCTGATAGCTCATGTTCTTTAAATGTCAGTAATATTAATTAAAAAAAAGCAAAAAAACCTATTTTCTTTAAAAAATTATACGCTTCTGTTTTCAAAGGCGCCTTTATAATTATCACACATTCCAGAGGACTTCTTATATATCTTTAAAGTGTTAGTTACTACATTAAAATATAGACCATACTTATTTTTTCTAGCTCTTTCTAAAATAAGATTACTTGCAGACCTAATCATTTCTATATTCTGAAATTCTTTTTTCAATTCCAAATTTAACCATTCTTCTTCACATTTGTACCATCCTGAATGAAAGGGTGTTTCTATTTCTCCAATTACTTCTTTTCTAGAAAATTTCCATGCTTCCAATGCAAGAGATGGTACTATAGGTGAAATTATTGATATATAATTTCTAAATATCTAAAAAAATTAAAAAAAAAAAATAAAAGATTATTTATACATGAAAGAGAACTGTTTGACAACTAGTTCTACTTTTACTCGTACGATGATCAGCATAGAGCCTATCTTTTATTATATCAAAATAAAATGACGAAAGCTGATTATTCGTATAATTAGCTACAGCATGAACAACTATAAATTTAAAAAACATCCAAGTCCAAAAAAAAACAAATTACCTTGAAAAAACAGAAATTTATCATACAATTCTATAGTCTTGCGATTAAAGTCATATGTTTGAGCCAATGCATATTGATCAATCTAATATCTTTAATAAACTATATAAAAACATAAAAATATATACTTTTCTCAAACTCTTATATTCTACTTTATTTCCATCCCAATCATAAAGATTTCCCAAAAGAAATCTTAAAGTTGCACGAAGTTTCCGTTGTAGTTCAGCAACATTTTTCAAAATCAAAGAACTGATATTAATATCATTTGTGAAATTATTTCCAACAGCCCATAACCTTAAAACGTCAACTCCATAAGCTGGTCCATTTTCAATAACTTTTTCACCAAAAATGATATTTTCTGGATTTATAACATTACCAATAGATTTAGACATTTTTTGATTGCATTGATCAAGAACATATCCATGTGTTATAACAGTTCCATATGGAGCAATATTTGAATGATCATTCTGAGATGCAACAAATGTTAATAAAAGAGACTGGAACCATCCCCTATGCTGGTCTGATCCCTCAAGAACAAGATCTATAAGTGGTTTATCTTTTCTACTATGTTTTTTTCAGAAATAGAATAATAAAATTTACCAACTTACGAATCAAGATTATTGTAATTACTATCATTTAAGATAACATTCCATGATACACCACTATCAAACCATACATCCATTGTTTCCATCCCCTTTTTATATCTTATACCATTCTTTTTATATTCTGGAGCAACCCAAATATCTGAGTCTGAATCTTCCCACCATGCATCCATACCATGTTTCTTAACTCTATTAATAATATGATCGATATTTTCAACAGTTAATAATGGTTTTTCATTTTCTAAAGAATATAATACAGGAATAGGTACTCCCCACGCCCTCTGACGAGATATACACCATTCTGATCTTGATCGAAGAAAAGAAATAAGCCGTTCTTTTCCTGAATCTCATTAATCAATGCCAATTGGAAACAATTGAAAACCATTTCCCGGAATCATCTTAACATTCTTAAGAGCTTTAATTGTTGTAGATTTAATTTTTTCAATATCAACAAACCATTGAGCAGTTGCTCTCTGAATTACCGGTTTCTTGGTTCTCCAATCATATGGATATTTGTGGATATATTTTTCCAATGATACCAACATCTTCTGATTTTCCAATAACTCGATAACCTTTTTATTCCCATCTTCTAATACGAATAAAAACTCCAGCTTTCCATCAAGTGCCTCCTTAGTAAAACAGCCATGATCATCAACAGGAGAAAAAATTGGAATATTATGTTGTATACAAACTTCATAATCTTCCATACCATGTCCAGGCGCTGCATGAACCAATCCTGTTCCTGAGTCCGAAGTAACATACTTTGTATGAAAAAAAGGCATCTCTTTAAAATCATCCTCAAGAGGGTTATGATATGTCGCTTCTAATAATGCTTCACCAAAAAAATACAAGAATGTTTCAGATATGTTGATAAATTTAAGTAAATGAGGGACTCGATTACGAGAAAGAATTAAGTTTCCATATTGAACCGTATTAACAATTGTATATTCCATATCTTTATCAAGAAATATTGCCTATACATATAAATAAATAATAATAATAAATTCATAATAACTTTATTAGCAGGTAATGTCCACGGAGTTGTTGTCCAAATCAAAATGTAAAGAGGTTCTTTATTTTTTACATTAATTATCGAAGATAATTTTCCTAAAATCTAAGTATTAGAAAGGAAAAAGGATCATCTTACCTAAATTAACCAAGGGAAATCTAACAAAAACGGCTTGACTTATATGATCATTTTTATATATTAATTCAGCATCAGCTAATGCGGTTCTCGAGGATGGGCTCCAATATACAGGCTTATAACTTCTATAGATGAGATCTTTTCACTATTCAAAAAAAAAAACTTTAAAATAAAAATTTTACCTTTTTCAACCATTTTTTTAAAAATATCAAGTTGCCAAATTATATATGATACATCTTTTATCATTAATATATTCTCTATCAATTATCAAACGTAATGTACGAACCCAATGTATGATAACTCTTTTCCCAATCAGCCATAATACCAAAACTTTTAAAGCTCTCTTTTTGATGTTTAATTGTTTCCAATGCATATTCTCTTGCCTTCTTACGTATTGTCATTGGAGATTTATGAAATGTAAATTGCTCATTATCTTCTAAAGCCTTCAATTCTATTGGTAATCCATGACAATCCCATCCTGGAATATATGATACAGGACGTCCTTTCATAATATTTACCCGTAATATTACATCCTTAAGAATCTTATTCAAAGCATGGCCCAAATGCAATGAACCATTTGCATAAGGAGGTCCATCATGCAAAATAAATATTTTTTCTGGAGGCAAATATGTTTTCTAAAAAGAATAATTAATAAATTCCATAAAAAATATCAATAAAAATATACCTGCCACTGGTAAAGTTTCTGTGTAAGTATTTCAAATTCTTTTGAATCAAAACAGCCTTTTAAAGGCCATAAAGAGAATTTAGTTTGAGGAAGACAAAGCGTATTTTTATATACGTTATTTGTTTTTTGTTGAAATGTCACATAAAATCGATGAAAAACATATCTAAACCTAATATTAAGTTTAAATAGTCGATTTAATCATAAACAACCTTTTGACTAAACAAAAATTCATAATCTTTGAAGGAAAAAAGATGCCACTGGACGAATGGAGATTCGAACTCCAGACTTCTCGCACGCGAAGCGAGCACTCTACCAACTGAGTTATACGCCCTCAGCCCTATTATATCCAAAGAAACCAATATTTAGAAGTTATAAAGTTCATACTAAATATTTATGAAAATCCAAGATGAATATAAATGCAGAAAATAAATACATTTACACTATCTTTAAATAGATTTCTCTCATATTTTCCATATAGTATGCTGTAAATGAAATAAAATTGATTCTAATTTTAATAATGATTCATGAGTCATTTGTGGAATAGTATTTTCGAATAGAGATAATATTTCATCTAAATGAGCAAGTGGATCAATTTCTTTTAAATAAATTGTTAAAATTGTAGCAGAAGATGTATCTGCACGATTAGAATTAGGTGTTTTTAAAGATGTTTGTTGATAAACTGAAGGTATTTTTGAACGATTATCAATACTCGTAGATCGTAATCTTTTTGTATAAGAAAAAGAATCATCCAAACTAGAATCTAAAATATATTAATGCTAAAGATCTATTTTCTTTAAATACAATTACCATCTAACGATTCAGAAAATTGTTTACTTTTTTTAAAAAAATCTATTTGATTCTCAGCATCTTTTTCTTGGTATGATTCTGAATAGATTATTCCATTTCTTCTATACAATTATGATATAAGGAATGCTTAGATAGCTTTTTCCTTTTGTTAGATTCCAATTCCAAAAAATCTGAATCCATTGATGTATTTTGAAGAGAATCTTGATATGCAACTCATGCTAATTCTAATGATTTCCTTCTAGTTATTATTATTGAAGGCTCAAAAAGTATTTTTATTCGTTTATTAGTAGCAAAATTAATAGATCTATTAAAATTCGTCCATACCAATAACTTAATTTCTTTTGAGATAATATTAGACATTAAAATTGTTTCAATAACAAGTGCTATGATAGATGAATTATTTTTTATCCATTTAAGATCTATTCTTAGAATCTCTGATAATTCTCCTGTAGAATTATCTATAAAACGATCATCTCCATAGTTTAGCTTTTTCTATATCAAGCATAAAAGCAATTATTTTAATTCCATTAAGCACGCCATTTAGAAAGCATAGAAGTGTCTATAATAGCAATAAGAACACTCTATGAATGTGCTACAAAAATGCCTTCACCATCTTCTTTAATAATTTCCTGAAACCGCATACAAAATATATCTATAATCATCTTACCTTGAAATTTTTTCTTCATATTATTTATAATAGCCAAAATAATTTTAGATTCACCAGACATAGCCTTTTCTATATCAAAAGAACACTACAAGGCCTTTTCCCATATAACACGATTGATATCAATTAAACAATTATGTAAAAATGAAACCCATTCAGAATCACAATTAATAAACACTTGAGGACGCTAATTCATGATTCGAATTAAAACATTTAATCATTCTTAAGAAATAGCTGATAAGATCATTCATGTTTTTTTAAAAATATCTCTTCCTTCTATAACTATTACTCAAATTATAACATTAGAAGATAATTTTTAAACAAACACTTAAAAACCAAAGATATAAAGCCATTGATACCTAAAAATAAATTTTTGAAAAAAAAAAAACAAAAAAAAATACCTTAATAGGAAACAAATCTTCTAAAACAGAAATAGAATATTCAATAAAAAACTTTGCATCATTAGAATCAAAAATATCGGAAATTTCTTGTTATTATAAAAGATATCCCAAAACTTTAAAAGTATTTAATACTTTAATTCCACAAGAAAATCTTTTTAAAAAGATAATTCCAAAATACATTTGATAACCACCAATATCAAAAGATTTAATTAAGATTGCACTTCTCTTAATAAATCGAACAAGTTGAAGAAAATATTGAAAAATAAAAGCTTTATCAGGAATCCTTTCATATAATTGAAAAATATAGAAAGCTTAAAATACATTTCAATCTTTTTAGAACGAAGATTTCCTTTGAGATTTTCCTTAACATTCTTTAAAAATAATGAAAAACTATCATTCTTTCAATTAAAAATAAATTCATCAATATATTCACTCTATTTACCTCTTATTTTCACTCAATTCTATTCATTTTAATATCTTTTTTTTCTAAAATTCTTTAATATGATTTTTTAATAATCTCCTAAAACTCTTCGTAAACTTAATTGTAAGGTCACGTGACATCTACATAATAGTATTTTTTAGAAAAAAGAATAAAGAAAACACGTCTATCTATTCATTATATTGAAGAATTACAAGTTAATAATGAATGAAAAGCTCAATAAGATCTTTTTATTAACCCTAACCCTAACCCTAGAGTTACAAGGATCATCCCTGTTAACCCTAATACAACCCTAATACAACCCTGATGCAACCCTAGCAACCCTAACGTAACCCTAAAATAACCCTAACGTAACCCTAACTTAACCCTAAGATTACAAGGGTCATCCTGGTTAACCCTAGACTAACCCTAATATAACCCTAACTCTTCACCCCTAACCCTCACAGAACCCTAGATCAACCCTAACATCAACCCTACACCAATCCTCCTTGTAAATAAACCCTAACACCATCTTCTCTCAATCCGCCTATTATAGGTTTATTCCCTGTTGAGAACTCGCAGTATCTTGAACCTAAGAAAATGGAATCACAACTGTATAGTACGAAACTTGTCCTTCTAGGAGAATCAGCAGTCGGAAAAGCAAGTATTATATAAGGAATAAGCATAATATTAACATTTATCTAGAGCAGCCTTGTATCGCGGTTTGTTAAAAATCAATTTGATGGTAATTTTTTTGAATAAATTTGATAGTTAATAATGGCATTAGATTATAGAGAAAGTACAATAGGAGGTTTATAAAAGAAGTGTTTAAGTCTGTTTTTATAATGGGAGTAGCTGCATTTCTTACACAAACATTATCTATTGATAAAACAACAACAATCAAATTTGAAATATGGTAAAGATTTCGAAGTAAAAAGAGATCAATAAAGATTAAATATGATAATTTAGGGATACAGCAGGACAGGAACGATATAGATCACTAGCACCAATGTATTGTAAGTTTTATTAATGAATTAAGAAGATAATCATATTTGTAGACCGTAACGCAAATTGTGCGGTAGTTGTGTATGATATTACTCAAGCAGTAAGTAATTTTAAGAGGAAAGAAAAAATATAGATAAGGGTTAGGAGTCGTTGGAAAAGGCAAAAGCATGGGTGAAAGAACTTCATCGACAAGCATGTGGGAATATTATAATTGCATTGGCGGGAAACAAAGCAGATTTATCAGAACGACGAGCTATAGAAACAGAAGATGCTCAAGCATATGCGCAAGAAGCAGGACTAATTTTTTTTGAAACGTCGGCAAAAAGTGCACAAAATGTAAATGAACTGTTTTATTGTATCGGTAAATGGAAATAATGATAAAGATTTATATATACTTAAAGAAATTAGCCAAAGCGCTTCCATTAGAATATCCAGCTCATAAACCACGAAGTGCAGGATTAAATCGGGATGTTGATTTATCTCGGCGATCATCAGTTGTTAATGCATCATCTACATGTAATTGTTAAAGAATAGTTTTTCTACCAGCTGGTATATTATTAAAGATCAAAGGAATACTGTGTATGTATTTAGACATTGATATTAGGTATTGCGAAATTAGCACTCATTTAGACTTCATTTTATATCCTATTATTATATTCTAAAGATAGATATTTTTTTCTTTTTTTAATGTTGATAAATTAGATATATTATAATTCAGTTTTGTTTGAAGAAAAAGATAAAAAATCAATACAATAAAATACAATGTATCCTATAGAGTAATAAACCAAAACGCTCTATAAAAGTTAAATATATAAAATTAAAGAAATTGAAAGAATACTTTAAGAATGAATTTAATGCACCAAATTATTTTATTATTAAATATATAAGACAAAGATTTAGTGTTATTGGATGATATGAAAGGAATATTAAAAAACTATTCCAGAATAAGTCAATGATCAAATAATAAATCAATTAGAATCTTACCTTATTTTTTTTTATAGTCGCTTGTTTGTTAAGAGAAGCAAATTTGGCTTCCTCTAATTTAAAATTTTCTTGAGATAGTACAGGCACAATACGTGATTTTTCGAATTCATTAAAATGTGACAATTCATCATTTTTAAAATCATTTTTACTCTATTATATATCAAAACATAATTTCAATCATCATTTAGTAATACTGTGTATTCTTTTGAAACCCTAATCATAAACGCAAGAACTTCTTGAGATGAAGGTCTTCTATAAGGATCTGATGATAACATTGTTTCTAAAAATTTATATAAATATTCCGGAAAATTAGTGTTTTTATAATCATGTTGATAACTATATTATTTTTAAAAAAATTAGATAATTTTATCAATTTACCCTTTAAAATTCAATATTTCAAGTCTTAAATTATCATATTCTTCTGCAGAATGTTTATATGGAAGTTTTCCCGGGAAAAGTAACCAATATAAAATTAGCCCAAGAGAAAATACATCTGATGCAGGTGTAAAAAATCCTTTCAATTTTCCATCTTCTCCTACTATTGAAATGAAAATGTATCATTTATATTAATATAAAAATATTTACCAAGTAATACTTCAGGTGCAGTATATCTAATATATTTTTAAATAATATAATCAAAAAAGATGAAAAACATACTCTAGTGTCCCTGTACCTCCAGATCGTGGATCTACCTCAGTAGCTACTTGACTTTCTCCAAAATCACTAACCAAAGCCCTTGGATAAAGGCTTTTTTTTGTACTTTGAAGCAAACAATTTCCTGGTTTTAAATCCCGACTTAAAGATTTCTTAGTTTAGCCAAATAAGAACATAATACAAACTGAATCATGTCATTCTCATGAAGAAAAGTCAAACCAGATGCAATGTCTTTAATGAAAGAAAATATCATCTCCAATGGAAGTATAGTTTCACCCATATGTTCCGTAAAAAGTGGCCTTCCTTTCAATCTTTTTTCTTTTTTTTTAAAATCAAAGAGTGTAGACTCATTAGATGATATTAAATCTTGAAGATAACTTTCCAGATCTCCTCTATCACAATACTAAAAACATTTATTATTAGAAATATAAAAAAGTTTTTTTACTTCCTGCAAAATATATAAAACTGGGACAGAAGGTCCAAACTTTGTTAATTTGGAATTCTCAAGCCCTTAATTGACGTTTTTAGCTTTTCTACTGAATCTTCTATATTCAATATTACTTACAAACATGATTGTAATGAACCAAGTTAGTATGTCTTAAGCGTAATAAGTGCACCTCTTTCAATAGCTTTAAAATAAAGTTAGTATCTTAAAGACCGAAAAGAACCCATCATATACTTTTTTAAGCCAGGAATGGCTATCACCAACAGGGATTCGTTTAACTGCGTCTATACCAGAATTAAATATATCCTTTAAAATACAATAAACGCACAATGACCAAGAGGAACACCGTCCAAAACATGCAATACTTTAAGAACCTCACCTCTAGATCCTTTTTATTTATAAATGATAATGTAAAATCCATAATACATGATTTACCTCGGCCAAGTAATCCTTCAGAAATAAAAAATCTTCAAAATTAAGCTTTTAAAATTAAAAAAAGAAATAAAAAACCTTTTAAAATAACCCTGATTAAATGATAATGATGAAAGAGGAGTTGGTTTTGGAGAAGGAGAATCAAATGATATAATTTCTGGTGTGGAAACATCTGAAAATGATGATGGAGTAGACGACCTTTTTGTAACATCCCAATAAAAACCCTCAAGAAATCGAAAATATTCTGAATTAATAAATGATGGAGAACGTTGTGAAAATTCATCTAATGTTTCATGAAGTTCATTTGAATGAAATGGTCGATAACAAAGAGGACAAAATGTCGTATCCATTTTTTTCATAAGTACACCATCTTTCATATTACGATAAAGGCTTAACTGCTTATTTTCACGGTCAAAAAGAATTACTGCTCCAGAAATTGAATCACGACTAAACCATTAAACCTATCAAAGATTCAAAATAACTTACAAAACAACATTCAAATCATTACAGGCAGAAAAGGGTATAACTGCTCGGCTATTTTCCATATTTTGAAACAAAAATATCAAATCCTTATGCAATTATTTATAAAAATATTTGAATTTAGTTTTAAGACTTCGAATAAAGTTTAGTGATATTGTGTCCGAAAGATAAAGAAATAAGGTTATAGATAGAATAAATCAATCTATTCGGAAAACTTTCCTGATTCAAAGGCATCTCTAATTGGATTTTTCACAGATAAAATACTATTTTTTTCAAGCCTGCCATATTGTAAATAAAATAGAATAAATATATTTTTTAAAAAACCTTTGAAACATAATAAAAAGTCGTTCAGCATCTCTCTCTTTCTCTTCTTCTGTCATTTCCGGAAGATGAGAAAGTGCCATACGTTCTGCTTCAAGTGTTTGCCCAGTGATTGGGTTAATACCATGTGGAGCATCAAAATCCTTAGAATCTGGAGAAACAAAAGGAATTCCATGAGATGCAAGGAAACCAGAGGCATAACCAAAGCCTATACTATTAATAAATTCCGTTACTATAATAAAAAATGTTAATCAAAACTAATTAAAAGGAAAAAAAATAAAAAATTTACCATTTGAATGATTAAGTTCATAAAGTAACCATGAAATGGGTTCACGAACCAATGGGGTTGGCAGCGTAATAGCTCTAAGAGTTTTAGATGAAAGCGTATCACCTCTTCCAAGAATATTTTCTCGATCTCTTAATGAAAAATCAAGTTAAATCAAAAAAACATAGAGTATATATTTACTTGCTTTGTGGTAATAGTCGAGAAACTAATAATGCCCGAATAGCTTCCGTTGAATGCTTAAGAATCTTTCGAAGAAAAGTAACAAGTGAAAGAACTCTAGTTTCAATAAGCGTATCTGAATTAATAGATGGAGGAGAATCATTCGGATAAATCCCCAGATCAATGCTTGATAAAAGCATATCTAAAATATTAAGTAATTGCTCAACGCAACGCTCAGATATATGTTCATCATCAAAAAACGTTTCAATTGGAAGATTTAGTAAACAATTAATAATTTCAAAAGTAAACTGTTGGTTAATTAAATTAGTAAATGATAAATTCAAGAGCTTAATAAGAGGAGATATATTACTAAAAGATTGTTAAATTAGTAAATATGTATAATTTTTTTTACATTAAAGAGTGCGTATCTTCATGTCGTATTAAATTAAAAAGAAGTTTTAAGTATTCCTGAACAGTATAAAGATCCTGTTCTGACCATGAATCATTAGAGACCAAATATGCTTCAAAATATGTTAAACACTAAAAATACATTCAATTACTCTTTTCAAAAATATAGAAAAAAAATACACTATTAATGATTTGAAAAATTCCCAATTCTTTCAATATTGTTATTGCCTTTCCATGTTGTGTTGTTAATAGAAATAAAATTCGCGTATAGACAAATATTAAATCAAAATTCTCCTATATAAAGAAAATTCTTATCAATATACTATTAACTGGTTTATTTTTTCAAACTTTTCTATGAATTAATGGTAACTCCAAAAAATGCATATATTCCTTAATAATACGTTCAATACCCTTTTTCTCAATAAAAATATCCCTTGATCCATCATAAAGAAGCATTATATTAAAAATACACCGTGTTGCGTCAATTGATTTCTCTTGTTTTATATCATCAGGAAATGCTAATTGAAACAAAATAGAAAACCCCTAAAAATTAGTTAAATATGGAAAAAAAAGCGCGTCATATAACAATACATCTCCTGAACCCATTATTTCTGCTGTTTCATCATCTCTAACAATTTTTTTTAGTTGAGAAACACATTCATATTCTTAGTCTTTAGTACAATTTAAATTCTATATAAAACTTACGTTCTTCAACAAATTTCCCTCGTTCAAGACCATTTTTTAAGCAATTAACTATCCTCTCTATCTCCTTTTTATCTATATCTATTAGTATTCTTGTTTTGATGCCATTTAGCCCATAAACAACCATGATATATTTTTGCCATTGATGGTAAAGATATCGAGGGGAGGCGAATTAGAGGAGGGATATAAAAATGCAGGAAATAAGTAATAAAAGAAAATAATGTTTTATATTTTATACAAATAAGATAGATTGCAAAAGTGTATATGTTTCAATCATCTAAAAAAATTAATGAGGAAAATTAAGAATAGATCTTACATAAAGTGCTTGTAAAACTTCTAAATTTTGACGAGCATAATTAAGCCAATCCTTTGCAAGTTTGCCTGGAATACCAGTTAATCGATTAAGCTCACGTGTTGCTGCATCTAAATTACTTTTTTCAAGATGAGCTTCTGCACGTGCAAGAATATGATGAACATGATTTCCATCGGTAAAAGCGGTTTTTTTAAACATAAAGAAAGTCAAGAACCGACTGAAAATATAACCTAGTACGCCAGTATGATCAGGACATAAGCTAACCTTATGAATTTCTTGAGAAAGATGTTGAAATCGATGAATTAATTGAGTTTTACTCATAATTCCCTGTTGATGAGATTCAGGCGGAATTGATGTAACCGCTAATTGTATAAATTCATCATTTTTACATAAATCCTTTAATGCATTAAGTTCTTTTGTAAATGGTTTTTGCTGTGGATCTTCAATAGTCCTTCGTAATGCTTGAAATGCAATTTGTAATCGTTGAATATGAATTATATTTTCAGAAAAATTCTTCATTTGAGAAAAGAGTATTTCTAACTGTTTTAGATGTTTATAAAGATGTTCTAATTGTCCTAATCGTCCTCCACGTTGTTCTTCAACGCGTGCTTTCATCTCACGCATCCAACGCCTTTGTAATTCAATTGCCTGTTGAATAAGTTCATTTTTTAACTTTTTCTCATTAACATCCTCCTGTTTTTTTAATGCTTCTACTAAACGTTCACGATAAAGCATCTCCAAACGTTCATATTCATATAATAGCGCAGATATCCAATATGTCTCCTGATTTTCCATCTGTATCTGAAGAGTTTTTTCCTGAACCTTTAAGAGATCTTCAAAATAATCTTTTTGTTCTGTTAATTTTTTATTCAATGTTATATTTGATTCATTATCAATATTTTCTAAAAAATTGTTTAAAGAATATGCCTCCTGTTTTAAAGCTTTGAGATAATTTTTAAATTCACCAGTAGCATTTGAATTCTGTATTGCTTTCTCAATTTCTTTAATAGAGTCCATTAAAGCTTGCATCGATGAATGAACAGGTTGTTCAGGTGATTTTAAAACTGGTGTCTCTAAAGACGTCTCTGGTAACTTATCTGAACTCTCTTCTTCCAACAATTGAAAAGATTCTGACGGCTTTTCTTTAGGAGGTTCCTCTTTTTTTGAATTATTCTTTTCATTTGAATTATTCTTTTCATTTGAATTATTCTTTTCATTTGAATTTTCCATTTCCCTTGTTTTAGATGATAAATACGGCGCATACCTTTCATCATCGATGTCACTATCTTTCATTTTCCTACTTTCTTGGATATCAACATAGCGCTCATAAAAACCATATTCATGAACTGCCACAACGATACGTCGAATCAATGGAATTCGCTCACAAATCCATTCTGAATATTTACTCATAGGATATGCCACTGAATACGCTGTAACACCAACTACTGTTCCCATAAATCCACCAAACAATGATCTTAAAACCCATTTTGAAACAAATCTAATCTCTTTTTTTTCGCTCCAAAAACCAGAAATCTTTCTCTTCTACAATCTATCAGGGAAATAAAGACATAAAAGACCTAATTGACCTGATTATGGCGGAAAATAATTGGAAAAACAGGCTTAAGAAGCCTCTTTGATGCCAACATAAATTTTACAACGTTCAAGTAAAAATCTCAGCTTCGACTCTTATCATTCAGTTGCGTGACATAAAAAATATGAAAATAAATATTTAAAGGATTTAATAATAATGGTTGTTTCTTTGTTTTTTTTTCCTTAATTTTTAGTTAATTTTTTTATCATATTTTTTTCATGCTTTTCTAAAAAAATTAATTTATTTTTTAAAAATATTTATTATTTTTCAAACTTAATTTTCTTCTCTTTTTTTTAAAATTTAATAATCAGGCGGCAGAATACTAAGTTTTCTTAAAAAATATGTTACGACGAGCCTCTCATGCAGGAACCTGGTATCCAAGCAGTGAATCAATACTAATTAATAATCTTGAAAAATTTCTACAAGTAAGAACGAATGGAATTGAGAAAAATAAAAATAAGGAAGGAAAAGTCTTAATTACGCCGTACTATATATTTTTTATTCAATATATAACTTGATTTATATTTTAGACATGCAGGATATGAGTACAGCGGAAATACAGCAGGGATAGGATATTCGCACATGAATTGGAGTGATGTGTAAGAGAAAAAGGATTGCAAAGTCATTTTTTTCTAAAGGAAATATTAAAGTGATAGAGTTTTTATTCTTGGACCAGCACATCATGTAGATCTTCAGAAATGTGCTGTTTCATCTTGTACTGAATATGAGACGCCATTAGGAAAGCTAAAGATTGATCAAGAGGGTAATAATTAAACGTAATATCAAAAGAATTATGTTTGTTTAATTAGTCAAAAATAGTGGTCAGGTCGTTAATAAAAACGGGTTACTTTTCTCAAATGGATCTTGAAACAGATGAAGATGAACATAGTATTGAATTGCAATTACCATTTATATATTATCAACTTGCTGAGTATGTTTTTTTCTATTTTAATAGATGGAAATATATGTATTGATATGGTATATTTAAGATCATCACCGAATGCAAAAATTATTCCAATTCTTGTTGGTGCAATTTTACCAGAACAAGAGCACATCTATGGATGTCTTTTAGCGCCATATTTAAAAAATCCAAAAAATAGGTTTATTGTTTCATCCGACTTTTGTCATTGGTAAGGCAATAAAAGTTAAATTATTTGACTAAAGATTATTAAGGGGGCATCGATTTTCATATACTTATTATGCAGAACCAGGTCAACCTCCTCGCCAAATATCTCGCTTGAATCCACCGTCTTCAGCATGTCCTATTTATGCTTCGATTGAACAATGTGATAGGGAAGGCATGCGTAGAATTGAGGACGGGAATCATGAAAAATTCATAGAATATCTATTGAAAACAAGAAATACAATTTGTGGACGGTAATTTTATTCAACTAAATTTAAAATATGACTAATCTATTAATAAATAGACATCCAATTAGCGTAATACTTTGTGCATTAGCTGAAGCGAAAATTCATCAGAAATTCCATTTCCTTCATTATACACAAAGTAGTTTATGTAAAAAAATATCAGACAGTAGTGTTAGTTATGCTACTGCTATTGTTTCATATTAAAAAATATTATTCAATGATTTATATTTTTCTATGTCTGTTGAAATATATTCGAGATAATAATGCTGAAATGCTGTTTATATTATGCATTTTTTGAAATATAACTAAAATCAATTTTTGAAATGAAAATTTGAAAAATTCAAGATTCAAATCATTAAATTATTGTTTCAATATCTATAAGAAAAGGAAACTTGGTAATGAAAAAATCATTCGAAAATGGTAATATTATATATTTTTTAAGTCATGGTTAAAATCTTCCTAAAAAAAATTAAAACTATTAAAATTATTTTTTATTATACTTACTTTATGAATTTTTTTCTTATCAATGCTTGTAGCGAAGGACTTCATGAAGTAATTGATGGACTTGATGGAGGAAGCGTATCATTATCACTAAAAAATCTTTCTTTTTCAATAAAAAAAGATGATTCATTTTGCATTTCCTTTATTTCAGAAATGGATGTAGAGCTTTGATTTAATGTAGGCGATTCTTCCCATGAAAATGGAGTTCCAGGCGATGAACTTAACATATCTATCATACGACCATTTAAAGGACAAATCTATAGGGATAAGGAAAATCAAATCAAAAATGTAGACAAACATCTCCATGATCATCTTTTGATTCATTATGAGCGGTATTTTTTGCAATTACAATTTCATGAGACATATTAATCGGTGGGTACCATGCTATTCATACCAAGAAAAGGGATAATGTCAAATAAATAAATAATTCTTACCTTCATCTCGTTCCAATATTTTTCTTTGATCATCACTAATAATGCAATCTTGATATGTAACCTCAAAAAATCCCTACACACCAAAATAAGTTAAAATAAAAAAACTGAAAAAAAAACCCGCCATCCTGGATGCAAAAATCTTTTCCGTTTTTTTTTAGACAAATCTCCTTGATTATTTGAAGGTGGTGTTGAAAAAAATATACGCTTTTTATTATTTTTTGTAAATGTTTCAATAGACTCATTCTATTGAAAATTAATTGATTTCTCCAATTCATATCATATATACTGATGATTTAGTCTCTGATTGTTGATCAACCTCTAAAAAATTGTTTTAAAAAAACCATTTTCCTAAATTTCAATACCTTTTACCTTCTTGTTCTTTAATTAATGTTTGTGGATAAATAAGTCTAGATAGAATATTTTAAAAAATGAAAGATTTTAAAAAATAATTCGACTACTTTTTAACATGCGTAGAATATAATAATGCACGTATTTCTGGATATTCATTAAAAAATACCGGTCGTCCAACAATTGCCTCTCCATCCCCTCCCAGAAATTGAATTTGTCGAACAATAAGTTTCGCTGATATTTTAAAATTACTTTCCTCATAAACCTCAAGTAACATATTCTTCAATGTTAAATATGCCCCTCTAATTTGTGTAAAACGCTTTCCAAATTCACTAAAACAACCTATCAAGACATAAAATAGCCTTTTTTTTTATACTTTTGATATGCTTCAACACATTCCTCTGTAAATTCACAAAAAATAATGCTTTCCATGTCAGAAACCTCTGCAAAAACTGGGCTTTTATATGTAATAAACTAATCATCTCTCTTAACTTTTTATTCTAAAATTAACCTGAAAACATACCCGGACAACCTGGACACGATTATGCTGTCCAAGATGCATAGGATTCTCTGATATTGAGGCCAGTGAGCCCCTCAATTTCCCCAAAATCCAGCTTTTTAGAATTCCACTCATCATGTCATTTTATATAGAGGTCGGAGTCGATTCCAAGATGCTCGTCAAAATCACGTGCAGACTCTGTTTAAAAATAATTCAGTGGGTTCAGATTCTTGACAAAACCCATCCACCCTAAGCCCGAGGAAATGGGGTTTTGGACAGATTTTTTGACAAAAAAGCCCATAAATGCTCAAAATATAGAGGATTCAGGAGGACTGACAAGCTTTAAGACGTTGAATACGCAGGAATCTAATATAAATGAATTTGGTGATAGACCAAGTGAAGAATATTTCAGAGAAAGAGAGAATGAAGGTCGATTTCAGGAGAGAGAAGACGAGATAAATGTTCTTGATGAGATGTATGCGCTTGGAAGTCGTATGTGTATTCCGGAAAAAAGTCATTATAAGCCAAATAGTGGAATATATACGTCGAATACGAGTATATATGGGGGTTCTAATAATTCGGAGAATACGAATGCAGCGACGTCTAATCCTTTAAAGCGTCTTACAGCGCTTTTTCTGCGGAAAACAAAGAAAGGAGTTGGTCCAGTGGTAGATAGGGTTTCAGTTCTTCAAGATGGGATTTGTAGAAATATTGCAGGACATAGTGTTCAAGAGGACCAGATATTGCAAGGGCAAGTTCAAGGAATTGGAGTATCTGGAGCTCAATTGCCGGGATTTATACTTCAACACGATGTTTCTAGCGATTCAGAGATAATTTGGGTGCCACCAGTTGAACAAAGTTTTAAAGAACGATCAATTTCGATGGTTTTAGAGAGATTGAGAACAGGACGATTGGGAAAGGATTTCTGGATGAAGGATGAAAATTGTCGGGCATGTTTTTTATGTGATGCAATATTTACAGGTAAGAATGAAGGGGTATTTATAGCTACAAACACTAAAGGAAAATAGGATGGCGTCGACGACATCATTGTCGTAAGTTTTTAAATAAAAGAAAATTATCATAAGTGAAATTGATGAGATTTTTAGGAACATGCGGACAGATTTTCTGTTCTAAATGTACGACATTGATTCCGGGCAAAAGTTTTGGTCATATTGAAAACTTACGTGTATGTAATCGTTGTCATGCAATTATTAATGAATATGTTGATGTGAATGGAGAAGAGGGAAATGTATTTTCGGAAAAACCATGCCTACGATCAATTTCTCAGAATTTATTTCGTTCAAATCATTTTATGGAAGTTTTTTTCCCAAAAAAACAATCATTAGATACACCTTTTTCTCCGAGAAATAGTGAGAAATCGACATGTGATGTATTCGATACATTTGAATCCATGTCTCCAGCTTCTTTTGGAGTGAGCGATACGATGGATAATAATACGTTTGAAACGAGTGAGAATTATTTAGCATCATCTTTTAAATCTTTCAATTTGGATCCCACTGATGATAAATGGTCTACATCAAAACATGAATGGATACAAGGGAAAAGAAAAAATCATGTTTTACATAAGAGAAATCACTTTGTTAGTCATGATATAAAATCATTTAGTACGACTCCAGGAGATATGAGAAAAACTTCGAATCGAATGATCGTTTCGACACCGCTTGTAGAAGAAAATGAAGATGTATCTTCGGAACATTCAATTCCGTTGCCTATAACTAATGAAAAACTTCAAATTACAAAAATGGGGAAGAAAAAAGCGATAAGATTTGATCATCGTTTGAAGAAACAGAAAAAGGTTGATGGAAAACAAGGGAATCTTTCTGTTTCCGAGGATTGCGTAAAAGATATTGAATTAACATCGGAAAATGCACTTCTTGCTTCATCTTTTCCTTCTATTTCTAAAAAAAAATCTCATAAGGTGTCACCGAATGATACATCTTTAAAAATTATAGACTCAAATTCATTTCCTTTATATTATGTCCGAGAACTTTTGAAACAATTACTACGAGACTCAAATGTATCGTCTGTTTTAAATTGGGAACAAATTTTAACTCCAATGCTTTTTAAGATCGTTGACAATATTAATCCTAATCTTCGAAACGGTGATGATATTGATGTACGTCATTACGTTAAAATCAAAAAAATCATAGGGGATCCTACATTAAGCTGTTATGTTCAAGGTCTTGTATTTACGAAAAAACTTGCATTAAAGAAAATGAGTACTTCTTTGATAAATCCGAGAATCGTTTTGATAACATTTCCCATTGAGTATCATCGAACAGAAACTCATTTTATGTCATTGGATCCTGTCATTGCGCAAGAAAAAGAGTATCTTCGAAACCTTGTAAATAGAATAATTTCATTACATCCTACAATATTATTTGTCGAAAAAAGTGTTTCTGGACTAGCTATGCAATATTTATTTGAAAGTAATATTGTCGTTGCATCAAATGTAAAACCCTCCGTTATTCAGGCAATCTCACGTTGTACGAGAGCTGATATTATTTCATCTATTGACAAACTTGCATTATCACCAAGGATAGGAAAGTGTGCTTATTTCAATTTAAAGACTTTTGTAAATCCAACTTGTCCTAATACGAAAAAAACATTTATATTTTTAGAAGGATGTCCAAAAGATCTTGGTTGTACAATTATTCTTCGTGGGTCAACTATTCATGAACTTTCTACCGTAAAACGAATAACAGAATTAATGGTATATGTGGTTTATAATTTAAAATTAGAAACATGTCTTATGAGAGATCATTTTATTTCACTATCAGATATACCTTCGAATAAGCTTACATCAGACCTCTTAAAAGATTCTTATTCCGCAATTGATCGTAATACTCCTATAACGTCATATGATGCTATTATAGAAATATTCGAAACAAGACTTTTATCTGCTTCTCCATATGTTAAGTTTCCTCCACCATACATGCTTTTAAAGGCTCGTGATTCCGAAAAGTATCTAAAGGAATTCTTAAACGACAAGAAATCAGATATCTTGGATCAGAAGATTAATAATTTTTTAAAGGAAATGAGTGTTTTAGATAACGATCATTTATTATTAAATATAAATCTAGCAGAAATATTAAAAAATGCTGAAATTGAAAAGACACAACAGGAATTAAAAATTCAAGAAAAAAATTGGAAATCCTATTTTGTTCAGGATATTGGAGTTGCTAGCCCCTTTTCTCATCAAGGATTTGCTGTACTTTATTCGAGCGTATGTACTGCATCGGCGATACCCTGTAAAGGCCCTGGTATGAATATTATTGAATATTATCGCGAAACGGATTGTACATTGGGACAGTATATTGAAGATATGTGTTCAACTGTTAATATAATTTGCAATGCAAATCTTTGTGGACGAAGACTTTTCGAACATCATCGAAGTTACGTACACGATCATGCTCGTATTACAGTTTTTATACAAGAATTGGATCATACTATTTCTGAAATACAAAAAAATATTTTTCTTTGGAGTCAGTGCAAAATTTGTAAAAAAAGTACACCAATGATACCAATGTCTGAAAATACATGGAAGTATTCATTTGGAAAATATTTAGAATTGATATTTTATAATATTTCTCTTTACAGTAAAGCCAGTACTTGCAACCATGATATAAATAGAGATCATATTCGTTATTTTGGATATCAAAATTTTGCTATAAGATTTCAATTCGATTATATTGAGCTTTATGACCTTTCATTGCCTCGTGTTGAAATAATATGGAAGTCAGAAGGATGGATTCGGTTGAAATTGGAAGAATATAATTCAATAAAATCAAAAATCGAGAAATTCTGTGATTCCGTTGAAGTTAGATTAAATAGTATTCCGTTAGATACTATACCTTTGGATAAAATTGAGGGATGTAAATTCGAAGTAGATCGCTTTAAAAAAAAAATTAAAGATGAAAGGACTTTTCTATTAAATTTTTTGAAAGAATCATATGAAAATTCTCATCCTTTAAAAATTTTACCACTTAATCGTGTTTTAAGAAGTATCCAAGAGATGGTTATCCAATGGGATGTTGATTTTAGCGAATTTGATAAATACTTTTTTCCTTCTGAAAAAGATATACGAAGATTTACTTCTTCACATCTCAAAAAACTCTTTATGGATAAAGAACTTATTTCGGATCACAATTATTCTAAAGGTTTGGAAGTTCCTGAAAATCTAAATTCTGAAGTCGATGATAAGTTATTAAGAGTATTTTATATGATTTCATTTTTTGTTTTTATTAATTTTTATTGCAGAATAAGAATGGACTTTTACTATTAAAAAAAGTTTCCAGTGAAAAGGACTTAAATTTCATGTCTTCTAGTGAATCTGAATTCTCGCTAAACAAAAATAATTCTGATACAAATATTTCTCATTTTGCAAAAAATGCCTTAAAGACCTCAAATAAAGAACAGAATATTTTTACTAAAAATACTTATCAAATAAACGATAAATTGGTTCAAGAAATATGTAAGCTTTCGAGTGATAATAATAATTTTTCCAAGAAAAAAGAATCCGACGATAATGCTAAAGAAACTAGTTTAAATGATGTTGTTAATACTGGAAATGAAATTTTATTTGATAACAATAATTTTTCGAATTCATCTCAGAAGTTAGATGTGGAAAAATTAAATAATTCTCTTCCTGCATCATCAATTGGAAATTTTTCTTTTAAAAATTATTTTTTCAGAAAGAACTTTGCAAAAATTCTTAAATCAGATCAAAAAAAAACAAATTATAATTATAAAAAAGGTAAATAATACGTTCAAAATATATCATAGCTGAAAAGCATAGATCTTCGATCTACTTTCAAAAATAAAAGAGATTTGGATATACAATTTAGGGCTCAAAATTCAGAAAAATTTAGTGAGAGTGCTTCTTATTTTTCCAATGATTTTGATCCATTGGATAAGGAATTCGAAAAGCAACGGATTCATAAAAGACGTTTAAAAATTAAAAAAAATTACTCATTTCTTCCATCATCATCAAAACCTATTGTAGAAGTTTTTCAGAATGTTCAAGAAGCTGTTAATGAAACCTCAGATGATGATCTTATTAATGAGCATAAAAAAATAAATATAAATTTGAAAAAAAAAGATAAATATGAACTCAATTCAGACAAAAAAGGGAAAAAAATAATTAGAAGATCCCGAA